TTTGAAAATTGGAAAAAAAATCTAAAAATTCAAAATAACGCCGAAATATGAAAAAAAAAGCTGAAAAACCGGAAAATCGAGAAACTGAAAAAAGTTGAAAAATCAAAACATTGAAAATTCGAAAAATTATAAAATAAAAATCGAAGAATGGAGCAATTGAGATTATTGAAAAAGCCGAAAAATGCAGCAACTGAAAAATCAAAAAATTTAAAAACCGAAAAATTCAATGGTTGAAAAATCGAAAAAAGAAAATTTGTAGAACAGAAAGATTGCTAAATAAAACTCGAAATAAAAAATGTAAAATGGATAAATTAAAAATCGGAAAAACGAACAACCGAAAAATTAAAATTGAAAACTAGAAAAGTTGCAAATCAAAAAATTAAAAAATCCCAAATTTGGAAAATGGGTTAAATTACAAAATAAAAATCGAAACACCAAAAAATGGAATGATTAAAAAAACAAAAAATCAGAAAGAAAGAATAACAGGAAAACTGAAAACCAAGCCGAAATATTAAAAAACAGAAAAAATGTGAAAAAAACAAAAAAGTTGAAAATTCAAAAGACTGAAAACTCGAAAATTGAAAATCTATAATCGAAAAAATTGCAAAATAAAACCGAAAAATAAATTATTAATAAAAAAAATGCAAATTAAGAAATTGTAAAATCGAAAAATTACAAAATGAAAATGGAGTAATTAAGAAATCGAAAAATCAAATAACTGGAAAATCGAAAAATTGAAAAGTAGAAAAACCGAAATTTTGAAGAAATTAAAATTGAAACTCAAAAAAATTGCAGTTCAAAAATGAAACGATTGAGAAACTGAAAAATCAAAAAATTGAAAAACCGAAAAATTCAAAAATTGAAAAATCGGAAAAAGAAAATTTGTTAAACAGAGATTGCAAATTAAAACTCGAAATAAAAAATGGAAAACGATAAATTGAAAATCGGGAAAGCGAACAACCGAAAAGTTGAAAAGTTGGAAAACCGAAAATTTTAAATTGAAAACTCGAAAAACTGCAAATCTAAAAATTAAAAAATCGAAAGTTCGAAAAACGGGTTAAATTGAAAAATAAAAATCGAAACACTAAAAAATCGAATGATTGAAAAATTGAGAAATCGGAAAAAGAGAAATCAAAAAATTCAAAATTAAGCCGAAATGTGAAACACAAAAAAGATATGAAAAAGCAAAAAAGTTGGAAATCGTAAAATCAGGAAATCGAAAAATTAACGAAATTAAAAATTTGTAACATCGAAAAATGACAAAATAAAAATCGAAGAATGGAGTAACTAGAAATCGGAAAAATAAAAAATTAAATAATTGGAAAATCGAAAAATTCAAAAGTTGAAAAATCAAAAAATGAAGATTTGGTTAAACAAAGTTTGCAAAATGAAACCCGAAATACTGAAAAATGGAAAATGGAAGTATTAAAAATTTGAAAACAAGAAAAATTGCAAATCAAAAAATTTAAAAAATCGAAAAGTTGAAAAATGAAAATTTTGAAAACTCGAACTTGTAAAATTGAAAAATTCTAAAATACAATTCAAAACACTGAAAAATCAATTATTAATCTAAAAAAAGAAAATAAAAAAATTGTAGAACAAAAAAATTGCTAAATAAAAATCGAAGAAGAATAATGTAATTAAGAAATCTCAAGAATAAAAATCGAGGAACTGAAAAATCGAAAATTAAAAAGTAGAAAAATCGAAATTAAGAATTTAAAATTGTAACTCAAAGAATTTTCTAAAAATCAAAAAAAAGGAGAAACTGGAAAACCTGGAAGCAGGAAATTTGCAAAATGAAATTAGAAATACTAAAAAATTGAAAATCGAAGAATTAAAACTTTCAAAAAAGAAACAACCGAAAATTTAAATTTGAAAATTGGAAACATTGCAAATCAAAAAATGTAAAAATCGAAAAATTCAAAATCAAGGGGAAACATGAAAAAACAAAAAAGTTAAAAAATCAAAAAACTGGAATAAGGAAATTATGAAATGTACAAGTTGAAAATTGAAGAACTGAAAAATCGAAAAATTGGAAAAACTGGAAAATTTAGAAGCAGAAAAGTTCCAAATGAAGTTCGAAATACTAAAAAATGCTAAATTGGAACAAAGAAAAATTGAAAAATTCAAACAAAGAAATTACAAAATGAAAAAACAAAATAATTTGAAGTTGAAAATTAAAAATTGCAAAATCGAAAAAATTTTAAAATAAGAATCGTAAAACTTGAAAAAATTGAATAATGTAAAATTGAAAACTCGGAAAATTGTGAAAGAAAAATATAAAATCGAAAAGGAAAAATCAGGAAAAACTGGAAAACTAAGAAATGGGATGATTGAAAAATCAAAAATATCGGAAAAATTCAAAATCAAGCTGAAATAATATATAGAACAATTCCAAAATTGAAAAACCGACAAATCGAAAAAACTGAAAACACCAAAAATGAAAACTTGAAAAATTATAATGGAAAAGTTGAACAATTAAAAATCCAGAAACTCGAAAATCGAATGTGTGATAATTGAAAAACGAAGCATTAAATTATCTAAAAATTGAAAATTCGAAAAATAAATCCAAAAATCAGAAAGTGGAAAAACTGAGGAATCGTAAAATTCAGAAACTGAGAAATAGAAAAGTTCAAAAAATATTGCTAAATAAAATTGGAAAAATAAATTAAATAACTGGGAAATCGAAAAATTGAAAGGTATAAAAACCGAAAATTTGAAGAATTGAATCTCAAAAAAAATGTAAATCAAAAATGAAATGATTGAAAAAGCCAAAAAATGCGAAAACTAAAAAATCAAAAAATGAAAACTTGTAAATACAAAAAGTACAATATCCATAAATTAAAAATCGGAAAAACGAACCTCAAAAAATTCGAAATCTGAAAAACCGAAAATTGGAAATTGAAAACTCGGAAAATTGCAAATCAAAGAAGTAAAAAATCGAGAAGTTGAAATAAAAATTTAAAAACAAGAAAAATTGCAAATCAAAAAATTTAAAAAATCGAAAAGTTGAAAAATGAAAATTTTGAAAACTCGAAAAATGGCAAATCGCATTTGTAAAATTGAAAAATTCTAAAATAAAATTCGAAACATTGAAAAATCAATTATTAATCTAAAAAAAGAAAATAAAAAAATTGTGGAACAAAAAAATTACTAAATAAAAATCGAAGAAGAATAATGTAATTAAGAAATCTCAAGAATAAAAATCGAGGAACTAAAACATCGAAAATTAAAAAGTAGAAAAATTGAAAGTTTAAAGAATTTAAAATTGTAACTCCAAGAATTTTCTAAAAATCAAAAAAAAAGGAGAAACTGGAAAACCTGGAAGCAGGAAATTTGCAAAATGGAATTAGAAATGCTAAAAATTGAAAATCGAAGAATTAAAACTTTCAAAAAACAAACAACCGAAAATTTAAATTTGAAAATTGGAAACATTGCAAATCAAAAAATTTAAAAATCGAAGCACAAAAAAATGTAATTATTGAAAAACCAAAAAATCGGGAAAAGAAAAATCGAAAAATTCAAAATCAAGGGGAAACATGAAAAAACAAAAAAGTCCAAAAATCAAAAAATTGGAATAAGGAAATTATAAAATGTACAAGTTGAAAATAGAAAATTGAAGAACTGAAAAATCGAAAAATTGAACCTCAAAAAATTACAAATCAAAAATAGAATTATTGATAAATAAAAAAGGAGAAACTGGAAAATTTAGAAGCAGAAAAGGAACAAAGAAAAATTGAAAAATTCAAACAAAGAAATTACAAAATGAAAAAACAAAATAATTTGAAGTTGAAAACTCTAAAAATTGCAAAATCGAAAATATTATAAAACAAGAATCGTAAAACTTGAAAAAATTGAATAATTTAAAATTGAAAACTCGGAAAATTGTAAAAGAAAAATATAAAATCGAAAAGGAAAAATCAGGAAAAACTGGAAAACTAAGAAATGGGATGATTGAAAAATCAAAAATATATGGGAAAAATTCAAAATCAAGCTGAAATATATATATAGAACAATTCCAAAATTGAAAAACCGACAAATCGAAAAAACTGAAAACACCAAAAATGAAAACTTGAAAAATTATAATGGAAAAGTTGAACAATTAAAAATCCAGAAAGTCGAAAAACTGAGGAATCGTAAAATTCAGAAACTGAGAAATAGAAAAATTCAAAAAATATTGCTAAATAAAATTGGAAAAATAAATTAAATAACTAAATCGAAAAATTGAAAGGTATAAAAACCGAAAATTTGAAGAATTGAATCTCAAAAAAAATATAAATCAAAAATGAAATGATTGAAAAAGCCGAAAAATGGGAAACCTAAAAAATCAAAAAATGAAAATTTGTAAATACAAAAAGTACAATATCCATAAATTAAAAATCGGAAAAACGAACCTCAAAAAATTCGAAATTTGAAAAACCGAAAATTGAAAATTGAAAACTCGGAAAATTGCAAATCAAAGAAGTAAAAAATCGAGAAGTTGAAATAACCAATTTCAAAATAAAAATCGAAACACTTAAAAATCGAATGATTAAAAAATTTAAAAATCTGGAAAAAAAAATAGGAAAATTCAAAATCAAGCCGAAATATGAAAAACACTCTATATGCAAATCCAAAAAATATGAATGGAATGATAAATCCCAAGTACAGATTCGTCATATTTTGGGGTGACGCATCAATTTTTTAGGGGAGATGAGCAAATACATTTTGATCAAAAATTTACCATATATATTGGACAATGTTCAGACGATTGTGCATGCGCGACCAACAATAAAAAAGTGCATTTAAACATGTTATCTGAATAAATTAGACCCGAAAATGATGAAATCTGCAATGAAAGTAACTCAAGCCACATACGAACAAATTCGGCTTCAGAAAACCAAAAACCTATTCAGTCGCGCCAATTTCCTGTAAAAAAAAACAAAAAGTGGGGACTTGCAACGAACCATAGAGCCAATCCTCTCAATGCAGTGGTCAAACTAGTCTTAACTGCACCAACGATGCTGCAACAACTGAATCCGGTCGACGTGGTGGCTAAAGCCCGCCGTACTTTCAACAGTGGTACCACCAGGAGCCTGCAACAGCGCAAGAAGTACCTCCGAAGCCTCGTTAACTTCTTCCAAGAAAAGGAAGACGGCATCATCGAAAGCGTCTTCGCAGACTCGCGAAAGGACGAAGAAGAAGTGCGCTGGGAAATTTACACGGCGATTTTTCACACCCAGTACTTAATCGATAACGTGGGCAAATGGGTGAACGGGGAAAATGTGCCGAAGCGATGGATCGACACGCTGGACAAAATTTACGTGCACAGCGAACCATATGGGGTGGTTCTGCTGGTGACTTGCTGGAATATGCCCATCTTGACTTTGCTACCTCTGGCAGGTTCGTCGTTTTGTTTATCTTGGTTGGGGTATTAATGGGTGGTTTTAGGAGCTATAGCTGCGGGTAATTGCGTCGTGATTAAACCTTCGCATAACGGACACCATTTTGGGACTTTTTTGGCAACTGTTTTGCCCTCGTACTTGGACCCTGAGTGCTACTCGATTTTTTGTGAAAACCACGACCGTGTGGAGAAACTCCTGGACGAAAAGTTCGATTATATCTACTTCACGGGGTCGGCTTCCATTGGGAGAATGATTCACAGGGCTGCCAACAAATACCTAACACCTACTACTTTACAGCTGGGGGGCAAAAACCCGGTTTATATTGATTCTAGTGCTGATTTGGAGCAAGCGGCTGCTCGGATAATTTGGGGCAAGTGTTTGAACTCGGGGCAATCTTGTTCCTCTCCGGATTACGTCCTTTGCTCGAGACCAATCAGAGAGCGCTTCGTCGAACATGCCAAATCTGCCATCGAACGATTTTACCCAGACTCCCAACACTGTCCCATAGTTAACGACCATCAGCTCCAGAGATTGTCAAACTTGCTCAAAGACCTGGACATAGCACTAGGAGGCGGAGTGGACTTTACCCAAACAACCATGCAACCCACCGTTGCAATTAACGTCTCCCCGGATCACCCCATCATGGAAGAGGAGATCTTCGGACCCATCTTACCCATCGTGACGGTTAACAGTGCGGAAGAAGCGGTTAACTTCATCAACACACGGGAAAAACCTCTGGTGATCTACCTCTTTTCGAAGAAATCAAGCGTGAAGAAGTTTTTTATCGAGAATACTAGTTCTGGGGCTGTTACGGTTAACGATACCATAGTACAGGTGATCGTGGAGAGCTTGCCATTTGGTGGGGTGGGTTCTAGTGGCATGGGACGTTTCAAAGGGAAGGATAGTTTTGACACCTTCGTCAACAGGAAAAGCGTTCTGGATAAAAACACCTGGGGAATTGTGGAAAGAGTGAATGAGTTGAGATATCCGCCTCTCACGAAACGCAAGACTGACGTGGCTACATTTTTGCTTAAATATAGGAGGGAACCATCATGGGTTACGGTGGTCACTTTGATATTTTTTTTACTGGCGTTGGGTGCGAGTTTTAGGTTGGATTTGTGGTAGAATTACATAATTATAATGTATATGGTTTTGGTTTTAAAACAAATCAATAACAAGTCTTCTGGATTATTTAATCGACGAAATTAATACGTAGTTTTTACATTAATTATTTACAAATGTCAAATGTTCTAATCTCATGTTGAAGAGTCACACTATAATGAGTTAATTCAAGTTGTTTAAATTACAATAAAAGACAACAAAGTTGCTGCTCGTTGTAATATTTGTAATAAAGTTTTGAAAAATGCTTAAAACAAAGACTTCGTTCTCATACGTAGATTTGCAATAACGCTAGTTAAAAAATTCATTAAAATCTTACATAATTATTATTACCACTTTTTATCTTAAACAAGTTCTGGCTTTTGACAACTGAACATGAAACCGATATTTATTTGGGCAAAAAATTAAATCTGCTATATGTAAGAATTAGCGTCATTAATTGTGTAGTTTATTGAGAATTAATGACATCAAAAACTTAGCATAATTATACTGTATAATGTGTAATAAGTATAAACTCATCGTATTTTACATATTTAAGGTAGTATTTATTCATCAATATTTCGAGGTGACGTCATCAATTTTTTGGAGGGGACAAGTGAATATATTTTGAATAACAACTTATCATGCTTATCATAACTGTAAACCATCTGCAAAATTTCAAAGCATTCGTTTACCAGATTCCAAATTAAATGTCAAAATGTAGCTTCCTAATTTTGACTTTTTTTCCAAAAATCTGGACGTTTTGGGTAAAAAATCAACACGGAGTCATAAACTACATGTGTAGGACTGTGTTATTTTATAGAATTTAAAACCCATGAGATTTATCCCTAATACAAATACAAAATTTGACAACAATCGGTCCAGTACTTTCCAGATTATATGTCTAATAGAAATCCGGACGGCAAACAGACGAACAGACGGACACACAGATAGACAGACGGAAATGGGAAATTTATTTCTTCGTACTCTAGGGGTCATTAAAGGTCGAGAAAACGTAAAAGCAGAGAGTCGGCGAACGGACTCGATTACTATATGTACATACTTTCTTCGCTTACGCACGGGAAGTAAAAATTTTAAAAATTGAAAAATTGTCAAACTGAAAAATCGAAAAATCCAAATTTTTAAAAACCGAAAAATTGTAAATCGAAAAATAAGCTGAAACACCCGCAATTTAAAAATGATAAAAATTGAAATGTAGAAATACCGAGGAACTGAAAAATCGAAGAATCCAGAAATCAAGAAATTGGAAATCAAGAAATCGCAAAATTTTGAATTTAAAAAATCTAAAAACTGAAAAACCGGAAAATTTAAAACCCAAAAAAGTAAAAAATCGAGAAACCGAAAACTCCAAAAACCCAAAAGTCAAAATATTGAGAAATTAAAAAAAATTGAAGAATCGAAACAGAGAAAAATCGAGTAATTGAAAAATTCAAAACTCAAATAACAAAAAATCAAAAGATGGATATATCGAGAAATTGAAAAATTGGGAAAGCAAAATATCCCAAAGTCGAAAAATTCAGAAGTTTCAAATTAAAAGGAAATGATAAATCCAAAAATTTAAAAATGAAAAAATCGCCAAATTGATCAATTGAAAAATCGGAATATTTTAAATAGAGAGAAATTGAAAAGTTGACAATTCGAAAGTTTTAAAATTCGAAAAATTGAAAAATTTAAAACCGAGAAGTCGAAAATCGAAAGTGCGAAAACCCGAAACATTAAAAACTGAAAAATCTAAAATTTAAAAATTCGACAAATTTACACAGAAATATATCAGAACTGAAAAATGTAGACAAAAAATCGAGAAATCGAAACATCAAAAAGTAAAGTTTAAAAATTAAAAAACTGAAAAACCGAAAAAGTCAAAAATTCACAATTGGAAAATTCGAACAACGAAAAGTGGAAAAATAGAGAAATTGAATAAACGAAAAATTTAAGAATGGAGAAACGAAACATCAAAAGATCGAAAAATGAAGAAATTGAAAGTCGAGAAGTCGAAAAATCAAAAAAGTGAATAACTAATCGAAATTTAAATAAATCGAAAACTAGAAATATCGAAGAACTGAAAAATCAAGAAATTGAAACCTCGAAAAATTAAAAATTGAAAAATTTGAAATTCAAAAATTTTAAAAATGGAAAAACCGATGTCAGGAAATTGAATAAAAATCGTAAAATTTAAAAGTTTAAAAAATTGAAAAATAAATAAGCTGAAAAATTCGAAATTGAGAAATCGAAAAAATTTAAATTTAAAAATTCTAAAAGTTGAAAAAACGAAAACGTAAAAAGTGGAGAAATTGAAAAATCGAAAAACGCAGTCAAAGTCAAAAAATTGTGAAAATGAAGAAGAATTGACGAATTGAAACAAAAAATTAGAGTAATTGAAAACTTAAAAAATTCAAAGGACGAAACATCAAAAGATCGAAAAATCGAGAAATCGAAAGTCGAAAACTCGAATAATCGAAAAATCTAAAAGTCGAAAAATCGAAAAATTGGGAAATCCAAACAGCCCAAAGTAAAAAAAATGAGAAGATTTGAATAAAAAAAAAATGATAAATCCAACAATTGAAAAATCCGAAAATTGACAATGAACAATCGAAAAATCAGAAAATTTAAAAGCCGAAGAATTGAACAACTGAAAATTGGCAAATTTTAAAAATCGAAAATCGAACCATCAAAAAACTGGGAAATCTAAAATCTTGGAAATTCGAAAATTTGACAAATCAGAACTGAAAAATCGACACATCGAAGAATTCAAAATTTTAAAAATTGAAAATTAAAAATATCCCAAAATTAAAGAATCAAAAATTGAAGAATCGACAAATCGACACATCAAAAACTAAAATTTAAAAATCAAAAAACTGAAAAAGTGAAAACATCCACAAACGGACAATTCGAAAAACGAGAATTCGAAAAATGGAGAAATTGAAAAAACGAAATTTTGAAAAATGCCAAAACTGAAATGAAAACATTGAAAAATCGAAACATGGAAAATAAAAAATTGAAAAATCGAAAAGCCGAAAGTCGGGAAATCGAAAAACCAAGAACAAATCAACACGAGAAATCGAAAAATCGGAAAATCAAAAAATTGAATAACTAATCGAAATTTAAATAAATCGAAAAATAGAAATATCGAAGAACTGAAAAATCAAGAAATTGAAACCTCGAAAAATTAAAAATCGAAAAACCGAGATGTCAGGAAATTGAATAAAAAAATCGTAAAATCTAAAAGTTTAAAAAATTGAAAAATAAATAAGCTGAAAATTCGAAATTTAATAATTCGAAAAATTGAGAAATCGAAAAATTTTAAATTTAAAAATTCTAAAAATTGAAAAAACGAAAACGTAAAAAATGGAGAAATTGAAAAATCGAAAAACGCAGTCAAAGTCAAAAATTGTGAAAATGAAGAAGAATTGACGAATTGAAACAAAAATTTCGAGTAATTGATAAATTAAAAAATTCGAAGGACGAAACATCAAAAGATCGAAAAATCGAAAAATCGGAAAATTTAAAAGCCGAAGAATTGAACAATTGAAAATTGGCAAATTTTAAAAATCGAAAATCGAACCATCAAAAAACTGGGAAATCTAAAATCTTGAAAATTCGAAAATTTGACAAATCAGAACTGAAAAATCGAGACATCGAAGAATTCAAAATTGTAAAAACTGAAAATTAAAAATACCGCAAAATTAAAGAATAAAAAATTGAAGAATCGAGAAATCGACACATCAAAACTAAAATTTAAAAATCAAAAAACCGAAAAAGTAAAAACATCCACAAGTGGACAATTCGAAAAACGAGAATTCGAAAAGTGGAGAAATAAAAAAACTAAATTTTGAAAAATGCCAAAACTGAAATGAAAAAATTGAAAAATCGAAAAGCCGAAAGTCGGGAAATCGAAAAACCAAGAACAAATCAACACGAGAAGTCGAAAATTCGGAAAATGGGGGAATCGACATAGCCCAAAATCGAAAAATCAAAAAATTGAAGAATCTAAATTTAGATAAACAAACATATAAATTTTTAAAAATCGAAAAAATCAAAAACTGAAAAATCTAAAGTTCGAAAATTTTTAAAATAGAAAAACCGAGATGCCAAGAAAGTTAACTAAAAAACCGTAAAATCAAAAATTTAAAAAACCCAAAAATTCAAAAATCAAGCTAGAAAAACTGAAAATTCGAAAAATTGGAAATCGTGAAACTGAAAAAGCGAAAAATCGAGAAATCTAAAAATATTACATTTAAAAAATCTAAAAATTGAAAAATCGGAAAATTGGAAACCCGAAAAAGTAAAAAATCGAGAAATCGAAAAACCCGAAAGTCAAAATATTGAGACAATCAAGAAAAACTGAAGGAAAAATCAATCGCAAAATTACAAAATTCAAATGACGAAATATCAAAAGATCGAAAAATCGAAAAATTGGAAAATCAAAACAGCCCAAAATCAAAAAATCGAGAAGATTTGAATTGAAAGAAAATGCTAAACCCAAAAATTGAAAAATCAAAAAATTGAGAATGAACAATCGAAAAATCGTAAAATTTAAGCCGAAGAATTGAAAATTCGAAAATTTTAAAACTCGAAAAATTTAAAACCGAGAAGTCGAAAATCGAAAGAACGAAAACCCGAAGCATTAAAAAACTGAAAAATATAAAATTTAAAAATTCGACAAATTTACACAGAAATATATCAGAACTGAAAAATCTAGACAAAAAATCGAGAAATCGAAACATCAAAAAGTAAAGTTTAAAAATTAAAAAACTGAAAAACCAAAAAAGTCAAAAACTCACAAATGGAAAATTCGAACAACGATAAGTGGAAAAATAGAGAAATTGAATAAACGAAAATTTAAGAATGGAGAAACGAAACATCAAAAGATCGAAAAATTAAGAAATTGAAAGTCGAGAAGTCGAAAAATCGGAAAATCAAAAAATTGAATAACTAATCGAAATTTAAATAAATCGAAAAATAGAAATATCGAAGAATTGAAAAATCAAGAAATTGTAACCTCGAAAAATTAAAAATTGAAAAATTTGAAATTCACAAATTTTTAAAATCGAAAAACCGAGATGTCAGGAAATTGAATAAAAAAATCGTAAAATTTAAAAGTTTAAAAAATTGAAAAATAAATAAGCTGAAAAATTCGAAAAATTGAGACATCGAAGAATTCAAAATTTTAAAAACTGAAAATTAAAGAATCAAAAATTGAAGAATCGAGAAATGAAAAAGTAAAAACATCCACAAATGGACAATTCGAAAAACGAGAATTCGAAAAATGGAGAAATTAAAAAAACGAAATTTTGAAAAATGCCAAAACTGAAATGAAAAAAATTGAAAAATCGAAACATGGAAAATCAAAAACTGAAAAATCCAAAGTTCCAAAAATTATTGAAAAATAGAAATATCGAAGGACTGGAAAATCGAGAAATCTGAAAATTGAAAAGTCGAAAAATTTTTAAAATAGAAAAACCGAGATGCCAAGAAAGTTAACTAAAAAAATCGAGAAATCTAAAAATTGAAAAATCGGAAAATTGGAAACCTGAAAAAGTAAAAAATCTAGAAATCGAAAAACCCGAAAGTCAAAATATTGAGAAAAGCAAGAAAAACTGAAGGATCGAAAGACAGAGAAATCAAGTAATCGCAAAATTACAAAATTCAAATGACGAAATATCAAAAGGCCGAAAAATCCTGAAATCGAAGGTCGAAAAATCGAAAAATTGGAAATTCAAAACAGCCCAAAGTCAAAAAAACTGAGATGTGTAGATTTTAAAAATTCCAAAGACAAACAAATCAGAACTGAAAAATCGAGACATCTAAAAATTTTAAATTTTAAAAACTGATAAATAAAAAAAAACTTAGTCAAAAATACAAAAAAACGATTATTCCAGAAATATAGAAAATTCGAAAAGTTGAAAAATCGAAAATTCAAAAATTTTAAAAATCAAAAAACTGAAAAAGTCGAAAGATCGAAAGATCGAGAAATCGAAACATCAAAAAACTGAAAAATCTTAAATTTAAACATTCGAAAAATTGAAAACTTGAAATATCGAAGAATTGTCTAATATTTTAAAAATTGAAAAATTAAAATTTCCAAAATTGGATAATAATCGAAAAATCGAATATTTAAAAATCGAAAAAGTAAAAAATCGAGCGAAAGAAAAATCTGAAAAATGCCACAACTGAAATGAAAAACTTGAAAAACCGGAACATGGAAAATAAAAAATCGAAAAAACTAAATGGCGAAAGTCGAAAAATCGAAAGAACAAAGAGAAATCAACACACTGAAAAATTGAGAAACCGAAAGATCGAGAAACGAAACATTCAAAGATCGAGAAATCAAGAAATCAAAAGACGAGGAATCGAAAAATCGGAAAATTGAAGACTCGAAATTTAGATAAATCGAAAAATATAAATCTTGAAAAATCAAAAACCGAAAAATCTAAAATTCGAAAAATTATTGAAAAATAGAAATGTCGAGCAACTGAAAAATCGAGAATGGTTATATATCTACAATTTTGACTTTTTTTCCAAAGGTTACATTACAGACAAGACAGACAGACGCAAAACGAGAGACCTACTTTTTCTTACTCTAGGAATCAAGAAACAAAAAGCACGAAAATAGCCACTCGCTCAATTCGATTACATTTCCTCGTCACTCTACGCTCGTACGTACTAAACCAATAAACAAACAACTTCGTTATCTGAATCGTCGGTGTTATCTCTAAACCGTACGCATGTGTGACTTTTAATTCAAAACTTCACTGCATAAAAATAGACCACTTTACGTCCAAACGTCGCGCTTCGCCGGTCACAATGTCGCAACCCGAAAACACCGCCGCAAAAACCGTCACCACAGTGCGCCAAACTTTCAACAAAGGCACCACCAAAGACCTAAACCACCGAAAAACCGCCCTCACAAACCTCGTCAATTTTTTCAAAGACCACGAACAGGCCATCATCGACTCGATTTTCGCCGACTCGCGAAGACACAAAGAAGAAGCAAGGTTCGAACTATTCACGGCTGTGGGTCACTTCAGACACGTCGTCGACAATTTCGCGACGTGGGCGAAACCGGAAAAAGCCTCAAAACGACTGGTGGATTTTTTCGATGGGTTATGGGTGTACAACGAGCCATACGGCGTCGTTTTATTGATGACTTGCTGGAATATGCCCATTTTGACTTTAATCCCGATCGCAGGTTGGTGGTTGTTGTTTTAGTTTTTGTACCAAGGGGTGTTTGTAGGGGCTATAGCTGCTGGTAATTGCGTCGTGGTCAAACCGTCACACAATGGACCGAATTTTGGCAGGCTTTTGGCCACTGTTTTACCCAAGTATTTGGATCCTGAGTGCTATCCAGTGTTTTGGGGGAAGCATGACGATGTGGGTGAACTTTTGGAACAACGATTTGATTATATTTATTTCACGGGGTCGCCTTCAGTGGGACGAATTATCCACAGGGCTGCCAATAGACATCTTACCCCGACTACGTTACAGTTGGGGGGCAAAAACCCAGTTTTTATCGATTCTAGTGCCGATTTGGAGCAAGCAGCGGCTCGAATAATCTGGGGCAAGTGTTTAAACTCGGGGCAAGTTTGCTCAGCTCCGGATTACGTCCTCTGTTCAAAACTGGTTAGAGAAGGGTTCATAAAACACGCAAAACTCGCAATTAGACGTTTTTTCCCCGACTCTGAGTATTGTCCAATCGTCAACCACCACCACTTCCACCGACTGTCGAAATTTCTCCAAGGTCTCGACGTTGAAGTCGGAGGTGGGGTGGACAATTCCGACCTAACCATCCAACCAACCATCGCAATTAACGTATCCCCGGACCACCCCATCATGGAAGAGGAGATCTTCGGTCCCATTTTACCAATCGTCACCATCGACAACATGGAAGAAGCCGTTGACTTCATCAACAAACGCGAAAAACCGTTAGTCGTCTACGTCTTCGCCAAGGAGACTTCGGTCAAGGACTTTTTCATCGACAAGACTTCCTCTGGGGCTGTTACCATCAACGACACTCTAGTGCACGTGATCACGAAGAGTTTGCCCTTCGGTGGAGTCGGTTCTAGTGGAATGGGGCGCTACAAAGGGAAATACGTAACTGAGACCTTCGTCAACAAGAAGAGCGTCCTGGATAAGAACACCTCCAGGTTGTTGGAAAATTTCAACGAGTTGAGATATCCCCCTCTGACTAGACGCAAAAATGATCTGGCGAGGTTTTTCCTAGACTATAGGTGGGGACCGTCGAGCAGCTCGATTCTACATACGACGATTTTTGTGCTAGGATTAGGTGCAGGTTTTGTGCTTTTTTATATCGCGTTTGTGTTAAATCCAAGGTTTTATCAATAAATAAAAGTTATACGTAGTAGCACCCAGTTGCATTTCATTCTATTTTGACGACAAGTTATTTCAGTCTCCGAAGGACGGTCAGCTTTCAAATTTTGTCATTTTCTTTTTATCAACTCTAATTAATTTACGATTAAACCTACTAAGCTTCATCAAATACGCCAATATTGTTCTAAAATGTGTATTACATAAGAAGTAATATAAAAAAGTCATTAAAAAACAGTTTCCACGTAGCTCTTAACGAGATGAAGGTTTGGAGCGTTTTTTGTTTTGTCATTGAGGGAATTATTGATGTGGCCCACAAAAAATGTAATGAGTCGAAGAACAATTACGCAAGGTCGACGGAAATGTTTGTGTCGAGGTAAATGACCTTTCTTAGTTGTGGTCCAGATAACCCGAAACCCAAATATTTTATTGATTGTAAATATTTAATTAATGTATTGTTTAACCGACAATATAATAATCAATATTTTTGTCGGTTAAGAATTAAAAGTGTTATTGAACCAACACAAAGTACAACAGGACAGAATTAAAAATGAATTTGGAGAAAGAAAACGCGGTTCTACTTGGCACCAATTTTGAATTTTTAAAGATTTTTGTTCTTTCAGTTTTTAAAAAATTCGAAATAGTTTACCATTTTTACATTTTCAATTTTTCGGTCTGTAGCTTTTCAGTTTTAGTTTCAAGATTTTATTTTCTTAATTTATTTTTCGAATTGTCAGTTTTTCGTTTCATTAGTTTTATCAATTTTTTGGTTTTTTCGGTCTTCCATCTTCTGAATTTTTCGATTTTTCAATTTAATTATCGAGTTTTATTGAATTTAAATTTTTTCTATTTTTCTGATTTATCATAATTCCTTTTTTGATTTTTGAACTTTTCGTTTCTTTAGTTTCTCGATTTTCAGTTGCTCGATTTGGAATTTTCAGATTTTTTACTTCAGAATGTTTAAAATTTGTGAGTTTTCAAATTTACACTTTTGGATTTTCAAAATTCCAAATTTAAAATTTCCCAATTTGTACAAATTTGAATTTTTGGATTTTCCAAATTTTTTAATATTCCAGTTTTCAATTTATTGGTGTTTCGAGGTTTTGGAGATTTTGAGGATTCATGGATTTGAGGATTTGGGTTTGAGGATTTGGTTATTTTGGAGATTCGAGGATTTTGGTGTTTTGGGGATCAGAAGATTTTGAGGATCTAAAAGTTTTGAGATTTTCGATTTTTCAACCTCCGAATTTTTCAATCTTTTGATTTTCCAGTTTTTGTATTTTTTGTTACCGATTTTTCAATCCGTTATTGTCCATGTTTTTAATTTAAAATTTTTCGATTTTTCGATTAATTTTTAGACTTCTATTCAATTTAAAATTTTCTCCATTTTTGATTTTTTACCTTTTCTGGATCAATTCTTACATTCCAAATTTTCCATTTTACTGGTTTTCGCTTTGCAATTTTTCGAGTTTTCCGTTTTCAGATTTTCGATTTGAGTTTTTAATATCAAATTTTTGATTTTGAGTTTTAAATTTTTGATTTTTCAACTTTAAAATTTATGAAATCTTTCAGTTGCTCGATTGGCACTTTTTGATATTTAAAGTTTCGTTTTTATAAAATTTCCGAGTTTTCACTTTTAAATTTTTGGATTTTCAGCTTTTCGAATTCATTTTCTCGAATTTTCAATCATTCGATCTTTTGGTTTTTCGTTTTTCATTTCACAATCTTCCGAATTTGCAATTTAGAGTTTTTCAATTTGTGGATATTTTAATTTTTTGATTTTCCTAATTTTTTCTATTTTTTGGCGTTTTGAGGATTTGGAAAATTTGAGGATTTGGGAATTTGAAAATGTTTGTATTTTGGGGATTTGATGATTTTGGTGTTTTAAGGATTTGACTGTTTTAGTGTTTTGAGGATTTGAGGATTTTGCTGTTTTGAGGATTTGGGGATTTTGATGTTTTCATGATTTTTGAAATTTGTTGTTTTGAAGATTTGAGGATTTTGGTGTTTTGAGGATTTAGCGATTTTGAAGGTTTGAGGATTTTGGTGTTTTGAGGATTTAAGGATTTAGCGATTTTGGGAATTTGAGGATTTTGGTGTTTTGAAGATCTGAGGATTTGAGGACATCAGGATTTTGGTGTTTTGAGGATTTGATGACTTGATGATTTTGGTGTTTTGAGGATTTGGGGATTTTAGTTTTTTGAGGATTTGAGCTATTTGGTGTTTCGAGGATTTGAAAATTTTGGTATTTTGAGGATTTGACGATTTTGTTGTTTTGAGCACAAATTTTTAAACTCTTCTTTTTCTCAACTTTTGAATTTTTAAATTTTCTGTTTTCAATTTTTGGATTTTCATTTTGCAATATTCCGAATTTGCAATTAAAAATTTCTCAATTTGTAGATATTTTAATTTTACGATTTTCCCAATATTTTAAATTTGTTGGTGTTTTTGGATTTGAAGATTTTGAGGATTCAAGGATTTGAGGATTTTGTTGTTTTGACAATTTGAGGATTTTAATGTTTTGAGGCTTTTGGTATTTTGCGGATTTGAAGATGTTGGTATTTTGATAACATCAGGATTTTGGTGTTTTGAGGAGTTAAGGATTTGAGGATTTTGATGTTTTGAAGATTTGAGGATTTTGGTGTTTTGAGGATTTGAGGAATTTTTGGATTTAAGGATTTTGATATCTTGAAGATTTAAAGATTTTGTTATTTTTAAGTATTAGAGCATTTTGAGGATTTAGGGATTTTAAGGATCTAAAATTTTTGAGATTTTCGTTTTTTCAACTTCTGAACTTTAAAATTTTTGAACTTTTCTTTTACTCAACTTTGGAATTTTTCAAATTTTCTGGTTTTCAGTTTTAAATTTTTGGATTTTCATTTTGCAATATTCCGAATTTGCCATTTCAAATTTCTCAGTTTGAAGATATTTTAATTTTTCGATTTTCCCAGTATTTTAAATTTTTTGGTGTTTTGAGGATTTGAAGATGTCGAGGACTCAAGGATTTGAGGATTTCGTTGTTTTGATAATTTGAGGATTTAAGGCTTTTGGTATTTTGAGAATGTGAGGATGTTGGTATTTTGAAAACATCTGGATTTTGGTGTTTTGAGGAGTTGAAGATTTGAGGATTTTGGTACTTTGAGAATTTGGGGTTTGAGGATTTTGGTGTTTTGAGGATTTGAGAATTTTAGAATTTTGGATTTTCAGTATTAGAGGACTTTGAGGATTTAAGGATTTTAAGGATCTAAAATTTCCGTCTCTTGAACTTCGAAAAGTTTAAATTTTTTAACTCTTTCTTTTCTCAACCATAGAATTTTGCAAATATTCCGAATTTGCAATTTAAAATTTCTCATTTTCTTGATAATTTCATTTTCCCAGTATTTTAAATTTTTTGGTGTTTTGGAGATTTGGGGATTATGAGGATTCAAAAATTTAAGGATTTTGTTGTTTTGACAAGTTTCGAGAATTTGAGGATTTTGATATTTTGAGGATTTGAGGATTTCGTTCTTTTGAAGATTTGAGGATTTTGTGATTTTGTTGTTTTGAGGATTTGGGGATTTTGGTGTTTTGAGAATTTGAGGATTTTTATTTTGCAAATTTTCCTAGTTTTCGCTTTGCAATATTTCGAGTTTTCCGTTTTTGATTTTCAATTATTCAAGCTTTTAATTTAAAATTTTTGGGTTTTCAAATTCTGAATTTTTGAACTCTTCGTTTTTTTGCTCGATTTGGAATTTTCTGATTTTTTACTTCAGAATTTTTAAAATGTGTGAGTTTTCAGTTTTAAACTTTTGGATGTTCAAAGTTTCAAATTTAAAATTTCTCAATTTGTATAAATTTTAATTTTTGGATTTTCCAAATTTTTTATTTACTTTATTCGAGTTTTCAATTTTTTGGTGCCTTGAGGATTTAGAGATTTTGAGGATTCAAGGATTTGAGGATTTTGGTGTTTTGAGGATTTGATGATTTTGGTGTTTTGAGGATTTGAGGATTTTGATGTTTTGAAGATTTGAGGTTTTTGGTGTCTTTATCTGAGGATTTTGGTGTTTTGAGGATTTGATTATTTTGGGAATTCGAGCATTTTGGTGTTTTTTTTGGATCAAAAGATTTTGAGGATCTAAAAGTTTTGAGATTTTCGATTTTTCAACTTCTGAATTTTTCAATTTTTTTATTTTCCAGTTTTTGGATTTTTTGTTTCCGATTTTTCAATCCGTTATTTTCCGTGTTTTTAATTTAAAATTTTTCGATTTTTCGATGTATTTTAGACTTTCATTCAGTTTAAAATTTTCTCCATTTTTGATTATTTACATTTTCTTTATCAATTCTTACTTTACAAATTTTCCATTTTACTGGTTTTCGCTTTGCAATTTTTCGAGTTTTCCGATTTCTGATTTTCAATTCGAATCTAAATCTTACATTTTCGATTTTGAGTTTTAAATTTTTGATTTTTCAACTTTAAAATTTTTGAAATCTTTGATTTTTCAGTTCTCAATTTTCAGTTGCTCGTTCGCATTTTTTTGATATTTAAACTTTCGGTTTTATCAAATTTTCGAGTTTTCACCTTTAAACTTTTGGATTTTCAGCTTTTTGAATTCATTTTCTCGAATTTTCGATCATTCGATTTTTTGGTTTTTCGTTTTTCATTTCGCAAAGTTCCGAATTTGCAATTTAGAATTTCTCAATTTTTAGATATTTTAATTTTTTGATTTTCCTAATCTTTTCAATTTTTTGGTGTTTTGACGATTTGGAGAATTTGAGGATTCAAGGATTTGAGGATTTTGATGTTTTGAGGATGTGAAGATTTTGGCGTTTCGAAAATTTAAGGATTTAGCCATTTTGAAGATTTAAGGATTTAGCGATTTTGAGAATTTGAGGATTTGGAGATTTGAAAATTTTTGTGTTTTGAGGATTTGATGATTTTGGTGTTTTGAGGAACTGAGGATTTTACTGTTTTGAGAATTTAGGGATTTTCACGATTTTTGGAATTTGTTGCTTTGAAGATTTGAGGATTTTGGTGTTTTGAGGATTTAAGGATTTAGCGATTTTGGGAATTTGAGGATTTTGGTGTTTTCAGATTTGAGTATTTGAGGACATCAGGATTTTGGTGTTTTAAGGATTTGGGGGTTTTAGGATTTTGATGTTTCGAGGATTTGATGACTTGGTGATTTTGGTGTTTGGAGGATTTGAGGATTTTATTGTTTTGAGGATTTAAGTAATTTAAGGATCTAAAATTTTTGAGATTTTCGTTTTTTCAACTTCTGAACTTAAAAATTTTTGAACTTTTCTTTTTCTCAACTTTTGAATTTTTAAAATTTACTGGTTTTCAGTTTTAAATTTTTGGATTTTCATTTTGCAGTATTCCGAATATTCTAATTTTTTTGGTATTTTGAAGATTTGGAGATTTTGGGAATTCAAGGATTTTAGGATTTTGTTGTTTTGACAATCTGAGGATTCAACTTTTGAATTTTTAAAATTTTATGGTTTTCAGTTTAAAATTTTTGGATTTTCATTTTGTAATATTCTGAATTTGCAATTTAAAATTTCCCAATTTCTAGATATTTTAATTTTTCGATTTTCCCAATATTTTCAATTTTTGGTGTTTTGAGGATTTGAAGATTTTGGGGATTCAAGGATTTGAGGATACTGTTGTTTGACAATTTGAGGATCTTGATGTTTTGAGGATTCGAGGACTTTGGTATTTTGAGAACATCAGGATTTTGGTGTTTTGAGGAGTTGAGGATTTTGGTATTTTGAGGATTTGAGGTTTGAGTATTTGAAGATTTGAGGATTTTGGTGTTTTGAGGATGTGAGGATTTTGGTGTTTTGAGGATTTGAGCATTTTAGTGTTTTGAGGATTTGAGGAATTGGGTGGTTTGAGGATGTGGGGGGGGGGGTTTAGTGTTTTGAGAATTAAGATTTTTGAGAATTTGAGGATTTTGGTGTTTTGAAGATTTTGGTGTATTGAGGATTGAGAATTTTGGTGTTTTGAGTATTAGAGGATTTTGAGGATTTAAGGATTTTAAGGATCTAAAATTTTTGTGATTTTCGTTCTTTCAACCTCTGAACTTTTAAAGTTTTGGACTCTTCTTTTTCTCAACTTTAGAATTTTTAAAATTTTTTGGTTTTCAGTTTTAAATTTTTTTGGATTTTCAGTCTGCAATATTCCGAATTTGCAATTTAAAATTTCTTAATTTGTAGATATTTTAATTTATCGATTTTACCAATATTTTCTATTTTTTGGTATTTTGAGGATTCAAGAATTTGAAGATTTTGTTGTTTTGACAATTTGAGGATTTTGATGTTTTGAGGATTTGAAATTGTTGGTGTTTAGAGAACATAAGGATTTTGGTGTTTTGAAGAGTTGAGGATTTGAGAATTTTGGTATTTTGAGGATTTGAGAATTTTGGTGTTTTGAAGATTTATTATTATTATTTTTACTATTTGAGGATTTTGGTGTTGTGAGGATTTGAGAATTTTGATGTATTAGGTATTAGAAGATTTTGAGGATTTAAGGATCTAAAATGTTTGAGATTTTCGTTTTCTCAACGCTATAAATTTTAAAAAATTTCTAATTTTCAGTTTTAAATTTTTGTATTTTCATGTTGCAATATTTCGAATTTTAAAATTTAAAATTTCTCAATTTATAGATAATTTAATTTTTCCATTTTCACAATATTGTCAATATTTTGGTGTTTCGAGGATTTGGAGATTTTGAGGATTCAAAGATTTGAAGATATTGTTGTTTTGACAATTTGAAGATTTTGATATTTTGGGAATTTGAGGATTTTGTTATTTTGAGGATTTGAGGATTTTATTCTTTTGAGGATTTGAGGATTTTGGTGCTTTGAGAATTTGAGGATTTTGGTGTTTTGGGGATTTCAGGGTTTTGGTAACTTGAGGATTCGAGGATTTTGTTGCTTTGAGAATTTGAGGATTTTGGTGTTTTGAGTGTTAGAGGATTTCGAGAATTTAAGGGTTTTGAGAATCTAAAACTTTTGAGATTTTCGTTTTTTCAACTTCTGAATTTTTCAATTTTTCAATTTTTCACTTTTTGGATATTTTATGTTTCCGATTTTGAAATCTGTCATTTTTCGAGTTTTTAATTTAAAATTTTTGAATTTTTCATTTTCCGATTTTAAATTTTTTTATTTGCAATTACCTGAGTTTTTAATTTAAAATTTTTCAATGTTCCAATTTTCAATTTATTAATTTTCCAATTATTATTTTTGTGTTAAATTTCTTTATTTTTTATTTGTCGTAATCTCGAGTTTTAAAAGCAAAAAAATAAATTAAAAACATAACTAAAACTGAAAAAGTGAAAAATCGAAGAATTTTAAATTTGGGAGACCTTGATAGCAGGAAAAACGTAAAAATCTTGCAATAAAACGGTCATCTTAAATGACAGACTATGAATATGCGAAAACTAATAAATAAGACGTCATAAAATGTTAAACAAATTTTGCAACAAAAAATAAAAAGTGCAACTTTGTTGTTTGACCAGTAATCATGCTTCATAATTAAGGTCATCATCATTGGGATAAAGCATTATAGTAATTACCTTCAATAAAGTAACAGTGTGGACACACGTCTTTTATTCAGTCTACCGTCGACCAGCCATGTCGCAACATGCAACCACCGCCTCAAAAATAGTGACCACAGTGAGACAAAATTTCAACAAAGGCACCACGAAAACTCTACCCCACCGAAAAAGCTCCCTCAAAAACCTCCTAAAATTTTTCGAAGAAAATGAAAACGCTATTGTTGACGCAGTCTTCGCGGACTCCCGACGACCCAGAGAAGAAACTCGAGTGGAAATATTCACTGCACTCTCTCACTTGAAGTACTTACTAGATAATGTGCAAAAATGGTCAAGGCCGGAGAAAGCGTCAAAGCGATGGGTCGACCTTCTGGATGGGGTTTACGTGTACAACGACCCATTTGGAGTCGTTTTGGTGATGACTTGTTGGAATATGCCCATTTTGACTTTAATCCCGATAGCAGGTTTGTGTTAATTATTTTATTTATTTGTACCAAGGTAGTGGGTGTTTGTAGGAGCTATAGCTGCGGGTAATTGTGTCGTGGTTAAACCGTCACACAACGGACCGAATTTCGGCCATTTCTTAGCCACTACTTTACCTAAGTATCTGGATCCTGAGTTCTGCCCCGTGTTTTGGGCTAGTCGTGACGATACCCCGAAGCTTTTGGAACAACGATTTGATTATATCTACTTCACGGGGTCGCCTTCAGTCGGCAAAATTATCCACAACGCTGCTAGTAAACACCTCACCCCGACTACGTTACAAATGGGGGGCAAAAACCCCGTCTATATCGATTCTACTGCCGATTTGGAGCTCGCAGCGGCTCGAATAATCTGGGGCAAGTGTTTAAACTCGGGGCAAGTTTGCTCAGCTCCGGATTACATCCTGTGTTCGAAACCAGTCGAAGAAGGCTTCATCAAACACGCCAAAACCGCCATCGAGAAATTTTTCCCCGACTCCAAACACTGTCCCATAGTCAACGACCACCACTGCTACAGACTGTCAAAACTCCTCCAAGGTCTAGACATAGCGCTAGGCGGCGGCACCGACCTCCCCCAAAGAACCATGGAACCCACCATCGCCGTCAACGTCTCCCCTGACCACCCCATCATGCAAGAGGAGATCTTCGGCCCCATCTTACCCATCGTCACGGTCAACAGTCTCGACGAGGCGGTTGACTTCGTCAACCGCCGGGAAAAACCGTTAGTGATTTATCTCTTCACCAAGAACAAGTCGGCGAGGGAGTTTTTCATCGACAATACGTCGTCTGGGGCTGTTACCATCAACGATACCCTAATGCACGTGATCGTGGAAAGTTTGCCCTTTGGTGGGGTGGGTTCGAGTGGCATGGGGCGCTACAAAGCCAAGTACAGTTTTGACACTTTCGTCAACAAGAGGAGCGTTCTGGTCAAGAATTCGTGGAGGGTGGTGGAGAAGGTGTACGAATTGAGATACCCCCCATACACGAAACGCAAAACTGACATGATCAATTTTTTGAACAAGTATCGGGGAGGGCCGTCCTGGGAGTCGGTGTTCTGGTTGGTGGTGTTTTTACTGGGGGTGGTGGCTGGGTTTGTGTTATTTTACGTGGTGGTTGGTTTACGCGCCTGAGGGTTTAATAAGTCAGTACCTAGTTTTAGGAGTTAAAAATTTTACTTTACAAAATTAGTTTTCATCTACCTTTAGATACATTTTTAAAAATGTCCGTCTGTCCGTCTGTCTGCCGTCAGATAATCTCCGAAAGTACTGGGCCGATTGTTGTCAAACTATACAGAGTGTTTTTCAAGTGGAACGCCTCGATTTTCTTAATGAGTATGTCATTTGTCACTATAAAATCTGCCAAAATCAGTCTTATCTTAGCAAGTACTAGCCCCGCCCACCCGCCCCGTTTTTATTGTAACGATTAATTTTATTTCGATTCAGTATAAGTTGCACCTTTCATTCAGAGCAGATCGAATTGATCACTGAAATGGAGGCGGGGTGGGTGGGCGGGGTTAATTAAATTTTCTTTTGTAGAGTGAAAGTGGGAACTAATAGAACCTAGGCACTAAAAGTAAAATAAAGCGCCAACCGTAACATTTACGAGAATTTCTTATCTCAGAAGAAAAAAATGAGAGAATGGGTGCGTGGGAATGACTGAGTTTATCTTTATCAAGTGATTATGATGGACGTGTTATCAGCTCCACTATTCCAGGGTTATCAATTATCATTGGTATCAAGTTAGTGTGTCATGTACGCATATCAAACCAACTCACACTTTCATTTTCAGGTTATTTATTTGTATTGTTTTAATTCTGATGATATTTCTATACACGATAAAACATCTGCCAACATACCTACTAATTTTTCCTTTAATATAAATATTTGATTGTAAATTCATTTTCTTAAAGAGTTAGTCTAAATTTTGTTCAACGACTACTCACTTAGATACTGTAAAATTGATGGTTTCAGTAAAGCATTTTTCAATGTTTATTGGCGCTGCTATGTTTTGTAAAATAAAGTTTAAAATTTGAAAAATTTTTCTCTGTTTGTTCCCCAATTTTTCTCATAACAAAATATTAATGCTTCAAAGAAGTTTCACTCCGTACTTTCTTGTACAGAAATATGGATTTTGCAGTTAAGCTCCGCCCCTCGGTCTCACGACGAATAAAAAAATTCATCACAATTGAGATCGGGTGGGTGGGTGGGGCTTATTCAGTTCAACAATAAAAAACTTAAAATATCAAATGATGAATTGTAGAAAGTAAACTCTATACATTAAGAAAACAAAGATAATGATTATGCCCCACCCACCCACCCTTATCTCGATTGTGATGAATTTTTCATTTGTTATCAGATCGACGGGCGGAGCTTAATTACAAAATCCACATTTCTCTAAAAAAACGACTACGTATATTAAGAAAAAAGGCAAAATATAAGCCCCGCCCACCCGCCCGATCTCAATTGTGATGATTTTTTTTATTCGTCGTGAGCCTAGAGGGCGGAGCTTAACTGCAAAATCCTTATTATTTCTCTAAGAAATCATCATGTACATGTTTTTGAGTATCGTGTTATTCAAAGAAGACTATGTATATTAAGAAAAAATTAAAGCCAAAGATTAAGCCCCACCCATACCTGTCCGGATCAAAATATCTGTTGTAGGGGAGGAGCCTAATTGCAAAATCCATGTTTCCTTACAAAAATTTACCATTTTAAACGTGTTTTAAGTTTCTAAGAATAAAAAAAATCGTGAGCATTGAAATGGGGTGGGTGGGTGGGGTTTATATTTAGCCTGTGTTTCTTAATGTACATAGTATTCTTTGAACAACGCGATACTCAAAAACATGTTTTTAATTTCTTGTAAAGAAGTATTTTGCAGTTAAGCTCCGCCCTCTTGGTTCACAGCGAATTAAAAAATCATCACAATTGAGACAGGGCGGGTGGGCGGGTTTTACATTTTGCCCTTTTGTTTTAATATGTGTAGACTTCTTTTCACAACATGAAACTTAAAAGATGTATATATAAAGTGGAAAATTTTGTAAGGAAATATTGATTTTGCAATTAGGCTCCACCCCATAATTGCAAAATCCATATTTCCTTGGAAAAATTTACTACTTTGACCATGTTTTAAGTTTCTTGTTGCGAAAATATGAGTCGTATATTAAAGAAAAAAATCTAAGCCCCGCCATTTCAGTTGTAGTGGTTTTTTTTTATTAGTCGCGAGTCTGGAGGCGGAGCTTATTTGCAAATTTTTTTTCTCTAAAAAAAATTATTATGTGGAATATGTTTCAAGTGGCGTGTTATTGAAGGAAAGCTGTATATATTAAGAAAAGAAGAAAATGATTAAGCCCCACCCACCCGCCCCTATCTGAATTGTGGTGAATTTCTCATTCGTTGTCAGATCGAGAGGCGGAGCTTCATTGAAAAAACCATATTTGTCTAAAAAAATTTCCACTTCAATTGTGATGATTTTTTTATTAGTCGCTTGTCTGGAGGCGGAGCTTATTTGCAAAATCTTTTTTACACTACAAGAGATTACCATGTGGAAAATGTTTCAAGTATCGTGTTATGGAAAGAAAACTGTATATGTTAAGAAAAGAAGCGCATGATTAATCCCCTATCTGAATCGTGATGAATTTTTCATTGGTTGTTAGATCGAGGGGCGGAGCTTAATTACAAAATTCATATTTCTCTAAAAAATCGACTACGTATATTAAGAAAGAAGGCAAAATATAAGCCCCGCCCACCCGCCGGATCTCAATTGTGATGATTTTTTATTATTCCTCGTGAGCCTAGAGGGCGGAGCTTAACTGCAAAATCCTTATTATTTCTCTAAGAAATTATCATGTACATGTTTTTGAGTATCGTGTTATTCAAAGAAGACTATGTATATTAAGAAAAAATTAAAGCCAAAGATTAAGCCCCACCCATACCTGTCCTGATCTAAATATTTGATCTAGGGGAGGAGCATAATTGCAAAATGCATGTTTCCTTACAAAAAATTTACCATTTTAAACGTGTTTTAAGTTTCTAAGAATAAAAAAAATTGTGACAATTTAGATGGGGTGGGTGGGCGGGGTTTATACTTAGCCTGTGTTTCTTAATGTACATAGTATTCTTTGAACAACACGATACTCAAAAACATGTTTTTAATTTCTTGTAAAGAAATAAATATTTTACAGTTAAACTCCGCCCTCTTGGTTTACAGCGAATTAAAAAATCATCAGAAATGAGACAGGGCGGGTGGGCGGGTTTTACATTTTGCCGTTTTGTTTTAATATGAGTAGACTTTTTTTCACAACATGAAACTTAAAAGATGTTTAAAATGGAAAATTAGTGTAAGGAAATATCGGTTTTCCAATTAAGCTCCGCTCCATAATTGCAAAATCCATATTTCCTTGCAAAAATTTACTACTTTAACCATGTTTTAAGTTTCTTGTTGCGAAAATATGAGCAGTATATTAAAGAAAAAAGGCTCAATTTAAGCCCCGCCATTTCAGTTGTAGTGTTTTTTTTATTGGTCGCGAGTCTGGGGGCGGAGCTTATTTGTAAAATCTTTTTTTCTCGACAAGAGATTACCATGTGGAATATGTTTCAAGCATCGTGTTATTGAAAGAAAGCTGCATATATTAAGAAAAGAAGTGAATGATTAAGCCCCACCCAACCGCCCCTATCTGAATTGTGGTGAATTTTTTATTCGTTGTCAAAGCGAGGGGCGGAGCTTAACTGAAAAAACCATATTTGTCTACAAAAATTTCCACTTCAATTGTGATGATTTTTTTTATTAGTCGCGAGTCTAGAGGCGGAGCTTATTTGCAAAATCTATTTTTCTCTACAAGAGATTACCATGTGGAATATGTTTCAAGCATCGTGTTATTGAAAGAAAGATGTATATGTTAAGAAAAGAAGCGCGTGATTAATCCCCTATCTGAATCGTGATGAATTTTTCATTCGTTGTCAGATCGACGGGCGGAGTTTAATTACAAAATCCATATTTCTCTAAAAAGACAACTACGTATATTAAGAAAAAAGGCAAAATATAAGCCCCGCCCACCCGCCCGATCTCAATTGTGATGATTTTTTTTTATTCGTCGTGAGCCTAGAGGGCGGAGCTTAACTGCAAAATCCTTACTATTTCTCTACAAGAAATTACCATGTACATGTTTTTGAGTATCGTGTTATTCAAAGAAGACTACGTATATTAAGAAAAAATTAAAGCCAAAGATTAAGCCCCAACCATACCTGTCCTGATCTAAATATTTGATCTAGGGGAGGAGCCTAATTGCAAAATCCATGTTTCCTTACAAAAATTTACCATTTTAAACGTGTTTTAAGTTTCTAAGAATAAAAAAACCATGACAATTGAGGTGGGGTGGGTGGGTGGGGTTTATATTTAGCCTGTGTTTCTTAATGTACATAGTATTCTTGGAAAAACACGATACTCAAAAACATGTTTTTAATTTCTTGTAAAGAAGTATTTTGCAGTTAAGCTCCGCCCTCTTGGTTCACAGCGAATTAAAAAATCATCACAATTGAGACAGGGCGGGTGGGCGGGTTTTACATTTTGCCCTTTTGTTTTAATATGTGTAGACTTCCTTTCACAACATGAAACTTAAAAGATGTATAAAGTGGAAAATTTGTGTAAGGAAATATTGATTTTGCAATTAGGCTCCGCCCCCTAATTGCAAAATCCATATTTCCTTGCAAAAATTTACTACTTTAACCATGTTTTAAGTTTCTTGTTGTGAAAATATGACTCGTATATTAAAGAAAAAAGGCTCAATTTAAGCCCCGCCTTTTCAGTTGTGGTGATTTTTTTATTGGTCGCGAGTCTGGAGGCGGAGCTTATTTGCAAAATCTTTTTTTCTCTACAAGGAATTATTATGTGGTATATGTTTCAAGTCTCGTGTTACTGAAAGAAAGCTGTACATATTAAGAAAAGAAGCGAATGATTAAGCCCCACCCACCCGTCCCTATCGGTATTGTGATGAATTTTTCATTCGTTGTCAAATCGGGGGGCGGAGCTTAATTGAAAAAACCATATTTGTCCACAAAAATTTCCATTTCAATTGTAATGATCTTTTTTATTAGTCGCGAGTCTGGGGGCGGTGCTTATTTACAAAATCTTTTTCTCTCTACAAGAGATTACCATATGAAATATGTTTCAACTACCGTGTTATTGAAAGTAAACTGTATATATTAAGAGAAGAAGCGCATGATTAATCCCCTATCTGAATCGTGATGAATTTTTCATTCGTTGTCAGATCGAGGGGCGGAGCTTAATTAGAAAATTCATATTTGTCTACAAACATTTACCATTATAAACACGCTTTAAGTTTCTTGTTGACGAAATAAGTCTACACATGTTCTGAAAAAAAGGCAAAATGCAGCCCCACCCTATCTCAATTGTGATGATTTTTTTATTCGTCGTAAGCCTAGGGGGCGGAGTTTAACTGCAAAATTCTTATTTCTCTATGAGAAAATTTTAAACATGTTTTAAGTTTTTTGTTCTGAAATGACGACTATGTATATCAAGACAAAAGAGAAAATGTAAGCCCCGCCCACCCGCCCTATCTCAATTGTGTGATTTTTCTTTTAATCGTCGAGAGCCAAAGGAGCTGAATTTAATTGCAAAATCGTTATTATTTTTCTACAAGAAATTACCAGTCTTTGAGTATCGTAAAGAAATACTATGTATATTAAGAAAAAATTAAAGCCAAAGGTTAAGCCCCACCCATACCTGCCTTGCTCTAGATAGTAACAGTTATGAAGTTTTCATTCGTTGGCAGATTTCGGGGTGGAGCTTAATTGCAAAATTAATGTTTCCTTAGCAAAATTTACCATTTTAAAAGCATTTTAAGTTTCTAAAAATAAAAAAAATCATCACAATTGAGATGGGGTGGGTGGGCGGAGTCTATATTTTGCCTTCTTTTCTTAATGTACATAGTATTCTTTGAACAACACAATACTCAAAAACATGGTTTTAATTTCTTGTAAAGAAATAAATATTTTGCAGTTAAGCTCCGCCCTGCCCTCTTGGTTCACAGCGAATTAAAAACATTTTACATTTTGTTTTTTTGTTTTAATATGTGTAGACTTCTTTTCACAAGATGAAACTTAAAACATGTTTAAAATTGTAGCTTAATGATTAAATTTAATGAAAAAATTGTTTAATAAATTATGTTTCTTACTTTATGAATATCACCTCTGAAGTTGTTATTATAATTGCCTCTATACAAACTGAAAATTTGTCGTGACTGTTTAGAAGTATTTTCGTTTTTGGATCCACGATTGGATACGATTCACTTATCGTCCCACTGCCTCATTATTTCCATCAGCTTGGGCAACTTTTTGCCCAAAATCCTTGAAATGTTTTTTTTTATACTAATCGAGTGGATAATGACGCAACTGACTTTTTAGTTAGTAAAAAAGTCGCTTATCTTGGAGCACTGTTTGATTTTTCAGAGTTTTTGAAGAAAATTAAAATTTGGGCCCAATACTGAAAAATTTTCCTCAAACTTACGAATCTTTCGCAAATTCTTTTCCGCAGCTGACGGATCTTGGCATCGATTGCATGTCGTCCTTGCCTAAATCGGTTGTAAATATTTTCATGTCTCGTCTTTAGGTGACCTTTTACCCCATTTATTGTATTACTGCGCCAGACGACAGTGCATTCACGACTAATCGCTAATTTTTTCAGTCTAATTTGGCAACAATCGCTAATTTAGCCACCTACACTAATAAATACCTACAAACGGAATTTTTCTACAGGCACAAAATATTCAAAAAACGGTGACCTTTGTCTGGTGCAACAAAAAGCAGCCAAAACTTGTTTTAACCATTATAGCTGATTCTGCTTTACCTTGAAATAGTGTGCATTTCGATTCTACTCTAGACACAATATCCAGTTTGATCAAATAATTACTAATCAGTTACACATGCGACGATGTCAGCGCAACGACCCAAACCCTCTAAAATTGTCGCCACAGCCAGACAAAACTTCAACAAAGGTGTGACCAAATCCCTATCTCGACGCATAAACTTGCTGAAAGGTTTCTTAAAATTCTTGAAAGAAAATGAAGAGGCGATTATCGCAGCGATGTTCCAAGACATGCGAAAGCACAGACAAGAAGCTCGTTGTGAAATTCACACCGCCTTGAACCACGTTAAGTACTTGATTGATAATTTGCCAAAGTGGGTGGTTTGTGTTAAACGGTCGAAACGATGGGTGGATGTGTTGGATGGGTTGTACGTGTACCCGGACCCATACGGTGTGGTGCTGGTGATGTCTACTTGGAATGTGCCGCTTTTGACGCTGCTACCAGCAGCAGGTGAGACTTTGGTGGTGGTTGGAAAAAAACATATAGTTGAAATTTGGTTGTAGGAGCAATTGCGGCGGGTAACTGCGTCGTGATCAAACCCTCACACAATTCACACAATTTTGGCCACCTTTTGGACACCACTTTACGCAAGTATTTGGACCCGGAGTGCTTCCCAGTGTTTTGGCGCAACGCAGACGAAACGAAGGAGCTTCTAGAGGAAAAGTTCGACTATATATATTACACGGGGTCCGCGAATTTTGGCAAAACTGTCCATTTAGCTGCGAATAAGTATTTAACACCTACTACGTTAGAAATGGGGGGGAAAAATCCCGTTTATATTGACCCCAGTGCCGATTTGGAGTTAGCAGCGACGCGGATAATGTGGGGCAAGTGTTTCAATTCTGGACAAACCTGTATAGCTCCGGATTACGTCCTATGCACGAAATCTCTCCAGAAAAATTTTATAAAACACGCTAAAGCTGCATTGTCCCGTTTTTACAAAAACGACCCGAATTCGTGTCCCATTGTTACCCACTATCATTTCAAAAGAGTGACTGGGTTGCTGCACGGTCTTACCGTAGCAGCAGGAGGGCGCACAGACCCTCTACTAAAGTGCATCGAACCGACTATTGTTGTTGACGTTCCTTCGAACCACCCCATCCTGCAGGAGGAAATCTTCGGACCCATTTTACCCATTATCACTATCAAAAATTACGAAAAAGCTGTAGAGTTCATCAATGGGGGTGAAAAACCTCTGGCTCTGTACGTTTTTACGGAAAATACGACAGTTAAAGACTACTTTATTGAAAATGTGTCTTGTGGAGGAGTCACGGTAAACGACACCTTGATGCATCTGGTGGTGGAGGAACTACCATTCGGAGGAGTGGGGATGAGTGGCATGGGGCGCTACAAAGGTCGGGACAGCTTTGATACTTTCAGCCACAAGAAGAGCGTCCTGGTCAAGAATTCCTGGAGGATAATCGAACAATTTAACGAATTGAGGTACCCTCCATATTCGGAGCTCAAAACCAACATAGCTGCTTTTTTGCTTCAGTACAGACGAGGGCCAACGTGGATCTGGATTTTCTATGTTTTGGTTGTTTTGATGGGTATTTGCGTCGGTTGCCTGGTATACTCGATTTTATAACCTCTGGACTGTTATTTTATAAATAAATCCATTGCACTATTATTATCATAGAAATTTAATTTCAAAACAAGTTTATTATAGCTCCTAATTAAACATGTCGCCACACGCACTGACTAAATTTTTGCGTCGCCTTGATTAAAATGCAGTGTGCATCCTCATTCACCGTACGCAACTTTCCAACACTTGGCTTCAGTCCCACATTATTCGACAATGTCACAACACCACAAAAACCCCTCGAAAATAGTGGCCAAAGCGAGGGAGAACTTCACCAAAGGTCTCACCAAAACCCTGACCCAACGCACCAACTTCCTCAAAAGTTTCTTCAAATTTTTGAAAGATAATGAAGAAGCGATTATCACGGCGATATTCCAGGACGTGCGAAAACACAGGCAAGAGTCCCGTTTGGAAATTTCCATGGCTCAGAGTCACGTCAGGTACTTGATTGATAATTTGCCGAAGTGGGTGGTTTGTGATAAACCGCCGAAGCGATGGGTGGATGTGTTGGATGGGTTGTACGTGTACAGTGACCCATATGGTGTGGTGTTGGTGATGTGTACTTGGAACGTACCGCTTTTGACGCTGCTACCAGCCGCAGGTGAGACGTTGGTGGTGGTTGGAAAAAAACATATAGTTGGAATTACGTTATAGGGGCTATCGCAGCGGGTAATTGCGTCGTGATCAAACCCTCGCACAACTCACCCAATTTGGGGCACCTTTTGGACACGACTTTACGCAAGTATTTGGACCCGGAGTGCTTCCCAGTGTTTTTGGGGAATACAGACGAAACGAAGCTTCTTCTGCAGGAACGCTTCGACTATATTTACTACACAGGGTCCACGAATTTCGGCAAAATTGTCCATTTGGCTGCGAATAAATTTCTAACTCCGACTACGCTAGAAATGGGTGGAAAAAACCCGGTTTATGTTGACCCCAGTGCCGATTTAGAGTTAGCAGCGACGAGGATAATGTGGGGGAAGTGTTTCAATTCGGGACAAACCTGTATAGCCCCAGACTACGTCCTGTGTCCCAAATCTCTCCAAAACAAGTTTGTCAAATACGCCAAAGCTGCATTGTTCCGTTTTTTCAAAAACGACCCAAATTCCTGTCCCATTGTTACCGACCAACATTTCAAACGACTGGTGGAGTTGTTGCGCGGGCTTACCATAGTAGCAGGAGGTCACACAGATCCTTTGCAAAACTACATAGAGCCGACCATTGTTGTCGACGTACCTTCGAACCACCCCATCATGCAGGAGGAAATCTTCGGACCCATTTTGCCCATTATCACTATCAACAATTGCGAAAAAGCTGTAGAGTTTATCAATGGGGGCGAAAAGCCTCTAGCTCTGTACGTTTTTACTAAAGATATGGCCGTTAAGGACTATTTTATTGACAATGTGACTTGTGGTGGCGTCACGATCAATGACACCTTGATGCATCTGATGGTCGAGGAACTACCATTCGGAGGAGTGGGGATGAGTGGTATGGGGCGCTACAAGGGTAGGGACAGTTTTGATACCTTTAGCCACAAGAAGAGCGTCCTGGTTAAAAATTCCTGGAGGATCGTCGAAAAAATCAACGAGTTGAGGTACCCTCCTTATTCGGGGCGCAAAACCAACATAGCTGCTTTATTGCTTCAGTACCGACGGGGACTATCTTTGAACTGGGTTACGTATGTTCTGGTGTTCCTGATCGGTCTCTGCGCTGGTTTTCTCCTGTATTATGTTCTTGATGTACATTTGTTGTAAGACCAATAAATAGCTCACTATTCCAGACACGTTTCCATTGCAATGCACGTGACGTCCCATAACCTAATTTAGAATCACCTTCGTCGCCACGTGCATTTCCTCTTACCCAAAAAGGCAACCATCAGCTCAGATGCACCCATCCAAGTCAGTCTAGCACAGTCTAGCCATGTCTCAACCCAGAAACCCCACCGAAGTGGTCGCCAAAGCCCGTGAGTGCTTCAAAAAAGGCCTCACCAAAAGCTTGAAGCAACGCAGAACCAACCTGAAGAACTACCTCAACTTCATCAACGAGAACCAGGAAGCTATCATCCAGACGAACTACGACGATCTTCGCCAACACCGAGAGGAGGTTCGCTTGCAGATCGGCCTTGTCGTAGCCCACGTCGAGGTTACCCTTGACAATTTGACGAAATGGGTCAAGCCGGAGAGCAAACCCAAAAGATGGGTAGATGCTTTGGATGGGTTGTACGTGTACAAGGACCCGTTGGGCGTGGTGCTCGTTGTGGGTACGTGGAATGTGACCCTCCTAACCCTAGCACCAGTAGTAGGTTGGTATTGGTTATGGTAAGAAACGGGTTTGACTATGGTTAGAATGGTTCTAGGAGCGATAGCCGGTGGCAACTGCGTCGTGATCAAACCCTCACACAACTCACCCAGTTTTGGTCAACTACTAGAGACCGTTTTGCCGAGGTACTTGGACCCGGATTGTTTCCCAGTGTTTGTAGCCGACATCGACGCAACCACTAAACTCCTGCAGGAACGGTTCGACTATTTGTATTACACAGGCGCGACCACCGTGGGCCGACTTATCCACCAGGCAGCTAACAAACACCTAACACCCGTGACGTTGCAACTGGGGGGCAAAAACCCAGTTTATATCGACGAGAGTGCCGATCTTTTCTTAACCTCCCGTCGACTCATGTGGGGGAAAACCTGGAACTCCGGCCAAATCTGTCTTTCTCCGGACTACGTCCTCTGCACTAAATCCACCCAAGACAAACTAATCAAATACTGCAAGGTCGCTTTAGACCACTTCCACAATCAAGACCCCCACTGTTGTCCCATCGTCAACGACTTCCACTTCAAGAGGCTCCAAAACCTCCTCTCAGGTCTAGAGATAGCAATCGGAGGTCGCGTCGACCCCCTAGACAACCACATCGAGCCCACTATAGCTACCAACGTCTCTCCTGAGCACCCGATCATGAAAGAAGAGGTCTTCGGGCCAATTTTGCCCATCGTACCCATCGACGGGTACAAAGAAGCAGTCGATTTCGTCAACAAGAGGGAGAAACCCCTGGCCTTGTACATTTACACCATGAAGAAGTCCATCGGGGACTACTTTCTGGAAAATACGTCCAGTGGGAGCGTGGTCGTCAATGATAATTTGACGCAGCTGATTACTGAGAGTTTGCCCTTCGGAGGGGTGGGCTATATTGGGATGGGTCGTTACAAGGGTAAGGATGGGTTTGATACCTTCGTCCACAAGAAGGCGGTCTTGGTGAAGACCACGTGTCCAATTGTGGAGAAGTTGCACGAGTTGAGGTACAGGCCCTTCGTGCCCTATAAGTTGGGTGTTGTCGAGTTTTTCTACAAATATAGGAAGGGAATCTCGTGGGGTTGGTTGGTATATGTGGGGATTTTCCTACTGGGGTGCGCGGTGGGGTTGCTGTTGTTTTATTTTGCCCATGGAATATGGGAGGAATTGCCACCCAAGTACCTAAATACATAGATAAAGGGCGAGTTGTCTCCCATAACGCGCAAGTGTTGTCATAAGTACTAAAGTACTAATTTTTTGTGATGGAAAAGAGGAGAAGTACTAAACAACTTCAATATTTTAAAACTATGTTTAAATTACTTATGTAATAGTAATAATCGCAACAGGTAAATACAATAAGTATATAATTATATTATATATTTATAACTTTGTAATAATATTTAACATTCCGTAATTAGAAATTTTAATAAACGATTTACAAATTATGTCCTTTTTTAAAGGTTCTTATGTGTTTGGATTTTACGATTTTCCGGTTTTACGATTTTGGCGATTTTTTGAGTGATTCCATTTTTCGATTTTTCGGTGTTCTTGTCAAATTAAAAAAAAAACTTTACCGGGAAAAACGAAAATTAGAAAATCCAATAAAAGTTTTAAAACTAAAAAATTGCAGAATGGTAAAATTGACGACAGAAAGAATGAAAAATCAAAAATGCAGACTCTAAAGTAAAAATTAATAATTAAAAAAGCTAAAAATCGCAAAATTGAAAAATTGACATCTGAAGAAATGAAAATGAAAATGTCTATAAATTAAAATATCGAAAAAGTGTAAAATTGTAAAATCAAAATATTGTAAAATTAACAAATCGAGAAACGGCAATGGAAAAATTGATGAAAGAAAGAAGTGAAAAACCTAAAAATTACATTGAAAAATTAAATCATGTAATCAATGATTTGAGAAATCGAAACATTTAAAAACGAAAAATAAAAATCGAAAAATTGAAAACTCGAGAAAATCAAAAAATTAAAACTGGAGCAAAAAAATCGATAATCGAAAAATCGCAAAATTGAAAAAAAAACAAAAAGAAAACATCCAAATTTTGAAAAATTGTATATTCAAAAATTATAAATCGCAAAATTGTAAAATCGAGGAAACGAAAATAAAAATCGAAAAACTTAAACATTAAACAATCGAAAAGTCCAAAGATACAAAAATGACACCTAAAAAAATTGATAAACGAAAAATCGCATATTTGGAAAATCGAAAAGCTAAAAAAAACAAAAATAAAACAAAGATATTGAAAAATTCTACAATCAAAAACCTAAAAATTAAATTGAAAAACTAAATAATGTAATCAATGAGTTGAGAAATCGAAAAATTTAAAACCGAAAAATAAAAATCGAAAAATTTAAAACTCGAGAAAATCAAAAAATTAAAACTGGAGCAAAAAATCGATAAACGAAAAATCGCAAAATTGAAAAAAACAAAAAGAAAACATCAAAGTTTTGAAAAATTGTATATTCAAAAATTATAAATCGCAAAATTGTAAAATCGAGGAAACGGAAAATAAAAATCAAAAAACTGAAAAATTAAAAATGGCAACATTAAAAAATTGAAAAATTGTAAAAGTGCAAAACCGTAAAATTCACAAATCGGGAAATTGCAAATCTGAAAATTGAGGAAATGGAAAATAAAAAATCGAAAAACTTAAACATTAAACAATCGAAAAGTCCAAAGATACAAAAATGACACCTAAAAAAATTGATAAACGAAAAATCGCGTATTTGGAAAATCGAAAAGCTAAAAAAAACAAAAATAAAACAAAGATATTGAAAAATTCTACAATCAAAAACCTAAAAATTAAATTGAAAAATTAAATCATGTAATCAATGATTTGAGAAATCGAAAAATTTAAATACGAAAAATAAAAATCGAAAAATTTAAAACTCGAGAAAATCAAAAAATTAAAACTGGAGCAAAAAATCGATAAACGAAAAATCGCAAAATTGAAAAAAAAAAAAAGAAAACATCAAAATTTTGAAAAATTGTATATTCAAAAATTATAAATCGCAAAATTGTAAAATCGGGGAAACGAAAAATAAAAATCAAAAAACTGAAAAATTAAAAATGGCAACATTAAAAAATTGAAAAATTGTAAAAGTGCAAAACCGTAAAATTCACAAATCGGGAAATTGCAAATCTGAAAATTGAGGAAATGAAAAATAAAAAATCGAAAAACTTAAACATTAAACAATCGAAAAGTCCAAAGATACAAAAATGACACCTAAAAAATTGATAAACGAAAAATCGCATATTTGGAAAATCGAAAAGCTAAAAAAAACAAAAATAAAACAAAGATATTGAAAAATTCTACAATCAAAAACCTAAAAATTAAATTGAAAAACTAAATCATGTAATCAATGAGTTGAGAAATCGAAAAATTTAAAACCGAAAAATATAAATCGAAAAATTTAAAACTCGAGAAAATCAAAAAATTAAAACTGGAGCAAAAAATCGATAAACGAAAAATCGCAAAATTGAAAAAAAACAAAAAGAAAACATCAAAATTTTGAAAAATTGTATATTCAAAAATTATAAATCGCAAAATTGTAAAATCGAGGAAACGAAAAATAAAAATCAAAAAACTGAAAAATTAAAAATGGCAACATTAAAAAATTAAAAAATTGTAAAAGTGCAAAACCGTAAAATTCACAAATCGGAAAATTGCAAATCTGAAAATTGAGGAAATGAAAAATAAAAAATCGAAAAACTTAAGCATTAAACAATCGAAAAGTCCAAAGATACAAAAATGACACCTAAAAAAATTGATAAACGAAAAATCGCATATTTGGAAAATCGAAAAGCTAAAAAAAAAACAAAAATAAAACAAAGATATTGAAAAACTCTACAATCAAAAACCTAAAAATTAAATTGAAAAATTAAATCTTGTAATCAATGAGTTGAGAAATCGAAAAATTTAAAAACGAAAAATAAAAATCGAAAAATTTAAAACTCGAGAAAATCAAAAAACTGAAACTGAAGCAAAAAAATCGATAAACGAAAATTCGCAAAATTGAAAAAAAAAACAAAAATAAAACATCAAAATTTTGAAAAATTGTATATTCAAAAATTATAAATTGCAAAATTGTAAAATCGAGGAAACGAAAAATAAAAATCAAAAAACTGAAAAATTAAAAATGGCAACATTAAAAAATTGAAAAATTGTAAAAGTGCAAAACCGTAAAATTCACAAATCGGGAAATTGCAAATCTGAAAATTGAGGAAATGAAAAACAAAAAATCGAAAAACTTAAACATTAAAAAATCGAAAAGTCCAAAGATACAAAAATGACACCTAAAAAAATTGATAAACGAAAAATCGCATATTTGGAAAATCGAAAAGCTAAAAAAACAAAAATAAAACAAAGATATTGAAAAATTCTACAATCAAAAACCTAAAAATTAAATTGAAAAATTAAATCATGTAATCAATGAGTTGAGAAATCGAAAAATTTAAAAACGAAAAATAAAAATCGAAAAATTTAAAACTCGAGAAAATCAAAAAACTGAAACTGAAGCAAAAAAATCGATAAACGAAAATTCGCAAAATTGAAAAAAAAAACAAAAATAAAACATCAAAATTTTGAAAAATTGTATATTCAAAAATTATAAATTGCAAAATTGTAAAATCGAGGAAACGAAAAATAAAAATCAAAAAACTGAAAAATTAAAAATGGCAACATTAAAAAATTGAAAAATTGTAAAAGTGCAAAACCGTAAAATTCACAAATCGGGAAATTGCAAATCTGAAAATTGAGGAAATGAAAAATAAAAAACCGAAAAACTTAAACATTAAACAATCGAAAAGTCCAAAGATACAAAAATGACACCTAAAAAAATTGATAAACGAAAAATCGCATATTTGGAAAATCGAAAAGCTAAAAAAAAAACAAAAATAAAACAAAGATATTGAAAAATTCTTCAATCAAAAACCTAAAAATTAAATTGAAAAATTAAATCATGTAGCCAATGAGTTGAGAAATCGAAAAATTTAAAAACGAAAAATAAAAATCGAAAAATTTAAAACTCGAGAAAATCAAAAAATTAAAACTGGAGCAAAAAAATTGATAAACGAAAAATCGCAAAATTGAAAAAAAACAAAAAGAAAACATCAAAATTTTGAAAAATTGTATATTCAAAAATTATAAATCGCAAAATTGTAAAATCGAGGAAACGAAAAATAAAAATCAAAAAACTGAAAAATTAAAAATGGCAACATTAAAAAACTGAAAAATTGTAAAAGTGCAAAACCGTAAAATTAACAAATCGGGAAATTGCAAATCTGAAAATTGAGGAAATGAAAAATAAAAAAACGAAAAACTTAAACATTAAACAATCGAAAAGTCCAAAGATACAAAAATGACACCTAAAAAAATTGATAAACGAAAAATCGCATATTTGGAAAATCGAAAAGCTAAAAAAACAAAAATAAAACAAAGATATTGAAAAATTCTACAATCAAAAACCTAAAAATTAAATTGAAAAATTAAATCATGTAATCAATGAGTTGAGAAATCGAAAAATTTAAAAACGAAAAATAAAAATCGAAAAATTTAAAACTCGAGAAAATCAAAAAATTAAAACTGGAGCAAAAAAATCGATAAACGAAAAATCGCAAAATTGAAAAAAAACAAAAAGAAAACATCAAAATTTTGAAAAATTGTATATTCAAAAATTATAAATCGCAAAATTGTAAAATCGAGGAAACGAAAAATAAAAATCAAAAAACTGAAAAATTAAAAATGGCAACATTAAAAAATTGAAAAATTGTAAAAGTGCAAAACCGTAAAATTCACAAATCGGAAAATTGCAAATCTGAAAATTGAGGAAATGAAAAATAAAAAACCGAAAAACTTAAACATTAAACAATCGAAAAGTCCAAAGATACAAAAATGACACCTAAAAAAATTGATAAACGAAAAATCGCATATTTGGAAAATCGAAAAGCTAAAAAAAACAAAAATAAAACAAAGATATTGAAAAATTCTACAATCAAAAACTATAAATTGCAAAATACTTAAATCGAATAAACGGAAAATAAAAAATCAAAAAACAGAACAATTCCAAAATCGAAAATTCAAAAATTTAAAATTGGAATTTTTAAAAATTCAAGAACAAAAAACCAAAAAATTGAAAAAAAACACAGATTGAAAAATTCAAAAACCAAAAAATATTTAAAATTGAAACCTCGAAAAATGGAAAATGGCAACATTAAAAAATCGAAAAATTCAAACAAAAAATTGTAAAATTAACAAATCACCAAACTGCAAATCTAAAAAACCCAAAAATTAAAAACCGAGAAAGTTAATAATTTAATTATCAATTAATTTGAAAAATCAAAAAATTGCAAAATTATGAAATTGAAGAAACGAAAAATAAAATATCGAATAAGTGAAAAATTCAAAACCAAAAAATCGAAAAATTTTAGACCAATAAACGAAGAATCGCAAAATTAAAAATCCTAAAATATGATAAATCAAAAAATTTAAAAATTGTCTATCAAAATTATAAATTAGAAAACAGTAAAATTGAAAGAACGAAAAAAAGGGAAAACTGAAAAATTCAAAAAATTGGAAATTTCAAAAGACGAAAAACTTAAAATTGATACCAATAAAAATTGATAAAAATGGCAAAATAGAAACAAGAAAAAATTAAAACACTGAAAAATTGTAAAATAAAAAACTGTAAAATTAATAAACCTAGAAATTAATGAAACGAAAGATTAAAAAAAAAAATCGAAAAACTCGAAAGCCAAAAAATCGAAAAATTTAAAATGGAAACCTAGAAAAATGAAAAATGGCAAGACTGAAAAATCGAAAAATTAAAGCAAAAATTTAAAAATTGAAACATAAAAAATCGTAAAATTAACAAATCAAAAATTGCTAAAAATCTAAAAATTGAGAAATCGAAAAACTCAAAGAATAAAAATAAAAAATCTAATATTTTGGAAAATCGAAAAATTGCAAAATTATGAAATTGAAGACGAAAAATAAAAAATTCAAAACCGAAAAATCGAAAAATTTTAAACCAATAAACGACAAATCGCAAAATTGAAAAATGTAAAATCTGATAAAACAAGAAATTAAAAAATTATTGTATGATCAAAAATTATATATTGGAAAATAGTAAAGTTGAAAAAAAGGGAAAACTGAAAAATTCAAAAATAAAAAAATTGGAAATTTCAAAAAACGAAAAATTTAACATTGAAACCAATAAAAATTGATGAACAAAAACAAAATAGAACAAACGAAAAATCAAAACATTGTGAAATTGTAAAATAAAAAACTGTAAAATGAACAAATCTAAAAATTGATGAAACCAAAAATAAAAAAATCGAAAAATTTAAAAACTCGAAAGCCAAAAAATCCAAAAATTTAAAATGGAAACCTAGAAAAATTAAAAATCGCAACATTGAAAAATCGAAAAATTGAGAAAGCGGAAAATTAAAACAACGAAATATAAAATTCAAAAAATCGCAAAACTATAAAATTATAAAATTAAAATATCGAAAAAATAGTAGAATTGAAAGAACGAAAAAAAGGGAAATTTCAAAAGACGGAAAGCTTAAAATTGATACCAATAAAATATTTATAAAAATGGCAAAAACAAGGAAAAATTAAAACGCTGAAAAATTGTAAAATAAAAAAATGTAAAATTAACAAATCTAGAAATTAATAAAACGAAAGATTAAATAAATCGAAAAATTGAAAAACTCGAAAGCCAAAACATCGAAAAATTTAAAATGGAAACCCAGAAAAATGAAAAATGGCAACACTGAAAAATCAAAAAACTCAAAGAAAAAAAATTGAAAATCGAGAAAGTTAAAAATTGAATTATCTAATATTTTGAAAAATCGAAAAATTGCAAAATTATGAAATTGAAGAAGCGAAAAATAAAAAATTCAAAACCGAAAAATCGAAAAATTTTAAACCAATAAACGACAAATCGCAAAATTGAAAAATCTAAAATCTGATAAAACAAGAAATTAAAAAATTATTGTTTGATCAAAAATAAAAAAATTGGAAATTTCAAAAAACGAAAAATTTACCGAAACCAATTAAATTGATGAACAAAAACAAAATAGAACAAACGAAAAATCAAAACATTGTGAAACTGTAAAATAAAAAACTGTAAAATTAACAAATCTAAAAATTGATGAAACCAAATAAAAAAATCGAAAAATTTCAAAACTCGAAAGCCAAAAAATCCAAAAATTTAGACCCCTAGAAAAATGGAAAATCGCAACATTGAAAAATCGAAAAATTGAGAAAGCGGAAAATTAAAACAACGAAATATAAAATTCAAAAAATCGCAAAACTATAAAATTATAAAATTAAAACATCGAAAAATCCCAAATTTGAAATTAAAAATCACGAACAACCAAAAATTGAAACATCGAAAAATTTTGAAAAATTCAATTGTTGCAAGACTGAAAAATGAAAATTAGAAAAATTGCAAAAACAAAAAACTGAAACATCGCAAAATTAATTAAATATCGAAAAATTTACAAAACCGTAAAATTGTAGGAACGAGAAATAAAAAAATAAAAAATTTGAAAATTGAAAAATAAAAACTTGAAAAACTGAAACATCAAAAAATTGAAAAAACTCGAACATTTAAGAATTCAAAAAACGCGCTCAAAAAAAAATTCTCAGAAAATAAATTAACACGATGAAAGTAATAAAATTCGATCTTGCACTAGTTTGAATTTGGGGTCAACGTGCCGTGTAGTGAATGGTTTTTGCGCCGGTGTCGCTGTTAACCAATCCGGAGTTGTTTTCACTTGGTGTAGATATGGTTGCATATACCTCCAGCCTATGGAATTTTATATCCAACCTTCCTGGTCGGTGATACGGAACCAGTGAACCATAATCAGGCGCGGATACAGGATTTCGTTCAGGGGGGGGCAATTTTTGTGTGATTTTATCTATCTACCAGAAATTCGTTCTAAACAAAAAAATTTATAAAATTTTACCTAGTATACTCATTTTCACATAACATGGGTGACATTTGGTTCTTTTTACACGTATAGTGTACAGTAGAACCTCGATAATCCTAATTCCTAATTGGGAAAAAGGTGTGTTCGGATTAACGATTTGTTCGGATCAGCAATTTTCGCAAAAATCTGAAAGGGAATTGAATAACAACTTCATACACAACTGAAAACAAACTTCAAGAAATAAACCTAAATTTTATTAAACAAAAATTAAAGAATTCTTAACCAACAATGGATAATAGATACATTCTAAAAAAATATTACTCCGTGACCATAAACACGCTATCTTTTTGAAATAAACACCCCGGGATCTATAGCCTGAAATTTTTCAGAATTTTTAGATGAATTTTTCAAAAATGAAATTTTCCATTATGTATTTGTATTACCTCCATTACGCAAATTTCGACCCATTCTCGACGATTTTCGAAATTTAACTAAATATATTTTCTTGTAGATTTTGGACCTCAGAAGTCACTTCTGGCTTCATTTCTTCGATAACTTAAACCATTTTTCCAGAATCGTCCAGTTGAAATACCGCAATTTTTAAAAATTTCGAAAAATTCGAATTTCACAGCGAATTTTCCGAAAATATTGCTCCGTTACCATAAACATGGTATATTTTTGGAATCAGCACGTCGGGATATATATCCCTGAATTTTTTCAGAATTTTTAGGAAAATTTTTCAAAAATGAAATTTTTCTCATGCAAATTTCGACCCATTTTCGATGATTTTCGAAATTTAACCAAACACTTTCTCTTGTAGATTTCGGGTCTCCGATAACTTCATCCGTTTCTCCAGAATTAGTTAATTGATTTAGTGCTTTGAAATATCGCAATTTTTAAAAAATTCAAAATATTCCATACAACATATACAGAAAGATCTTGCGTCATTTTTGGAAGTAGATGCATGTTTTCAAGTTCAGTTCGGATTGCAGAGTTTTTGTTCGGATTAAAGAGGCATGGACTTCAAATAGCCTCTGTTCGGATTACTGGATGTTGAGACAATCGTGAGTTCGGATTATAGAGGTTGTACTGTATTTACAAAATGAAATATGATTTCAAAATTTTGAAATTGGTCAAAATAAAGTACCTCGCTCGTATGTCAGGGGGGGGCAATTGCACCCATTGCCCCCCCCCTGGATCCGCGCCTGACCATAATACGACCCCATCACGCAGGAGGAAATTTTCGAACCCATGAATATTGCGAAGGGGTTTTGGGTTCACCAATTGCGACAGCTTTGATCATTTTACCTACAAGAAGAAGGTCCTGGTCAAGAATTCTTGGAGAATAATCGAGAAACTAAAAAATCCAAAAAACTTCCAAATCTAAAAACAGTTTAGCCATATCAAGACACCAAATCTCTGTTGTTCATATCGCTCTAAACACCCACCAGTAATTACATTCCAATCACTTACCCATTATCACCCAAACGTGACGTCCACACATCTATAAACAGCCCAAAACCCATTAAACATAAACAAATTTAGAATCACCTTCGTGGCTACATACAAGTCCCCTTACCCAAAAAAGCAACAAAATTCAGTCTCGCACGGTCCAGCCATGTCGCAGCAACCCAAAAACGCCTCCGAAGTGGTCACCAAAGCCCGCGATTGCTTCAAAAAAGGCCTCACCAAAGGCTTGAAGCAACGCAAAACCAACTTGAAGAACTACCTCAAGTTCATCACCGAGAACCAGGAAGCCATCATCCAGACCAACTACGAAGACCTGCGCCAACACCGAGAGGAAGTCCGCTTGCAGATCTACGTCGCCGTGGGCCACATCGAGCACCTCTTGGACAACTTGACCAAGTGGGCTAAGCCGGAAAGCAAACCCAAGAGGTGGGTGGACGCTTTGGATGGGGTGTACGTGTACAAGGACCCGCTGGGGGTGGTGCTGGTGGTGGGGACGTGGAACATGGCGCTCCTTACACTGGCACCAGTGGCAGGTGGGTATTGGTTTTGGTAAGAAAGGGGTTTGACGGTGGTTGGAATGGTTCCAGGGGCGATTGCTGGTGGTAACTGCGTCGTGATCAAACCCTCGCACCACTCACACAGTTTTGGTCAACTACTAGAGAGGGTTTTGCCGAGGTACTTGGACCCGGATTGTTTCCCGGTGTTTGTAGCCGATATTGACGCAACCACTGAGCTCCTGAAGGAACGGTTCGACTATTTGTATTACACGGGTCCGACCACCGTGGGCCGGATTGTCCACCAAGCAGCTAACAAACACCTAACTCCCGTGACGTTGCAACTGGGGGGCAAAAACCCGGTTTATATCGACGAGAGTGCCGATCTTGTTTTAACCGCCCATCGACTCATGTGGGGGAAAGCCTGGAACTCGGGCCAAATCTGTCTTTCTCCGGATTACGTCCTGTGTACTAAATCCACCCAGGAGAAACTAATCAAACACTGCAAGGTCGCTTTAGACCGCTTCCATAAACAAGACCCCCACTGTTGTCCCATCGTCAACGATTTCAACTTCAAGAGGCTCCAGAACCTCCTCTCAGGGCTCGAGATTGCTATCGGAGGTCGCGTCGACCCTTTAGACAACTACATCGAGCTCACCGTGGCCACCAACGTCTCTCCTGAGCACCAAATCATGAAAGAGGAAGTCTTCGGACCGATTTTGCCCATCGTACCCATCGAGGGCTACAAAGAAGCCGTCGATTTCATCAACAAGAGGGAGAAACCCCTAACTATGTACATCTACGCCACGAAGAAGTCCATCAGGGACTACTTTCTGGAAAATACGTCCAGTGGGAGCGTGGTCATCAACGATAACTTGATGCAACTGACTACGCAGAGTTTGCCCTTCGGAGGGGTGGGCTATAGTGGGATGGGTCGGTACAAGGATAAGGATAGCTTTGATACTTTCGTCCACAAGAAGGCGGTCTTGGTGAAGACCACGTGTCCGATTGTGGAGAGGATGCACGAGTTGAGGTACAGACCCTTCGTGCCCTATAAGATGGATGCCGTCGAGTTTTTCTACAGGTATAGGAAGGGAATCCCGTTGGGATGGTTAATCTACGTGGGGATTTTCCTACTAGGGTGCGTGGTGGGGTTGCTGCTGTTTTATTTCGCCCATGGGATTTAAGACGGGTTATAATGGTGAAGGGTTAATGAAGTATTTAAATTGTATCGATTGACTCACAAAATAATATATGTTAAGATAAATGTTTACCAGTGCATTTAGTTGATTAATATTCCATTCGCGTTCACTTTCAAGTCAAATAAAACTACGATATTAAAAGGGTAGAATCTTCAATGTTATTACGCAGTTTTAGAGCGGCAATAAATTATTACAGCGACGGCGAACAAAGCATTCCTTTTAGAGCAAAATGTGTCAAAATGGAAAGTGGAATACTAATAAGAATCGATAGGTGATGATGTATGCTTTCGATGGAGTATGAATTTAATGCAGCATGCATCGCTCACTCATAAATATAATATATACAGAGTGTCGTTTTAATGCTTACTTAAATCAAACTTGATTTAAAATAAAACACTTAGTACAACCATTGTTTAAGTATATTATAGTTGGACAACCTAATACAAATTTTACTTCGCCTAAATAGTGAGCTTTAGGACAAGGAATCCAGGGGCGTGGGACAAAATTTTTCGTCAACGCGCATTTTCACTACAGTGAGCCAACGTATTAGATTTATTTTACTCTACATCAGATGGCGCCATCAAACATTAGCAAAGGCAAACACCCTTCACTCTGCTCTTATACGAGGAGTTATCCATAAATCCATAATTAACATTGTTCCGTAAACAGTAATGTGTATAAACATATATGTACAAAATATGAAAATATACTTGACATAAAAAATATGAAGCAACGCGTTGTAACGTGATACGAAAGAATTGTATTTAAATGAATTTGACGCCTATTTTTATTTGACAATATCTGAAGACTGACAGAAACTTACCAAGGGTTTTTAAACTGGTATAATTGTTTAGTTTTACAAGATTAAAACAAGATTTTAAGTAAAATTTAGATTCGTGGTGTTACAAAAATATTAACACAAAATGAAAATATATATTCAAAGTAAATAACAGAATGACATAAATTTTCGGCGTTGACATTACAAATAATTACAAGACAGAAAAAAACGCATGAAGAACTTAAGAGGCATGTTTGTAATATCGAGTTGTTAAAGGTTGCTTTGAAGACTGTTTGTTTCTATGAAAATCAATTGCTGTCTTCCGACGTTTTGGTAGATTTTGTTTCAAAAATACGAGATAACTAATTGTTTCTTGAACTAGTTTCCGCAACTTCTAAAATTTAAAAAGGACACGCCGTTCTGCTGTAATAAAATCTAGAATAAGGTCAAAATTTTACAATAGTATATCCTCCGTTTACGGTTTATGCATCCGTGTCGAGTTTTCACCTTAGACATCAAGATTTTTGGAAAAAAAATCAACATTTTCCAATTTATAATGTTATTTAAATTTTAAAAAGTAGCATAGTCCTGATTTATAAATACGCTATTGGGATTTTTTGGCTTGTCGATTTCTCGATTTTTCAACTTTAAATCTCTCAATTTTTCAATATTTCAATTTTGGGTTTCTCCGATTCTTCCATTCTTCAAATTTTCTATTTCTCGATTTTTTTATTTTTCGATCTCTCAATCTTTCGATGTTTCAATGATACGATTTCTCAATTTTTATCCCCTTCAATTTTACGGTTTTTAAATATTTCGATTTCTCAATTTTTTAATTTCTCAATTTTTTGAACATTTCTTTCGGTTATGAGATTTTTCAATATTTCAATTTTTAGACTTTTCGATTTTTGAATTGATGGATTTTTTTTGATTTCTCGATTTTTTACTTTTTGGATTTTCAATTTATTGTAAACTTTGGATTTTTCAATTCTGCGACTGTTTAATGCTTCGATTTCTCAATTTTTCAACTTTTCGATGTTTTAATTTTTCATTTTTTAAAATTCTAGGTTTTTCGATATCTCGAGTTTTCAATTCTTCTATATTTCAATTTTTCAATTTTTCGATTATTTTAATTTTCGATTTTCCAGTTTTTCTTTTTTAAAATTTCGATGATTCAATTTTTTAATTTCTCAGTTTATCGAATTCAGATATTTCGTGGTTTTGATTCTTCAATTTCTCAATTTTTCAATTTTTAACTTTCCTTTTCGGCTTCCGACTCCTCAATTTCTCGATCCTCCGATTTTTCGATTTCTCGAAGTCTCAGTTTTTGAATTTTTCGATGTTTAGATTTTTGGATTTCTCGGTTTTTCGATTTTTTTCTTTTGAGCTTTTCAATTTCTGGATTTTCCAATTTTTCAATGTCCCGATTTTTCAATTTTTCAAATTGAATTGGATTTCTCGATTCTTCAATTTTGCGATATTTTAATTATTCAATGTTTTAAATTTTAGATTTTTCGATTTCTCGATTTTTGACTTTCCAGTTCTTCAGAATTTAAATTTTTCAATTTTTCAAATTTTTGCGTTAAATTTTCAGTTTTCTGATTTCTCAATTAATCTATTTTTGATTTTCTCACTTCTCAAAGTTTCGATTTTTCAGTGCTTCAATTCGTCGATTTTTCGACTTCGCTTCATTGGTTTTCAAATTTCTCAATTTTTGGATATTTCTTTCAGTTTTGATATTTTTCAATACTTCGATTCTTAGATTTTTCGACTTCTATTTTTTACTTCCCGAGCGTAAGCAAAGGAAGTATTGTAATCGAGTCCGTCGGCCGACTCTCTACTTTTACATTTTCTCGATCTTTCATGACCCCTAGAAGACGAAGAAATAGGTCTCCCATTTCCGTCTGTCTGTCCGTCTGTCCGTCTGTCCGTCTGTCCGTCCGTCTGTCCGTCTGTCCGTCCGTCTGTCCGTCCGTCTGTCCGTCTGTTGTCCCGGATTTTTATTAGACAGATAATCTCCGAAAGTACTCGACCGATTGTTGTGAAATTTTGTACTTATATTAAGAATATCATGTAGATGGTAAAACGCTAACCAAAATTTGTCTAATCATCCCCACCACTAATGCGATGACGTCACTTCAAAATTGTACATAGTAAATGGGTTTTCAATTGTATAAAATAACATAGTCCTACACATGTTGTTTACAACTCTGAATCGACTTTTCTCCCGAAACGTCCAGATTTTTGGAAAAAAAATCAAAATTATAAAACAACATTTTGAAATTTAATTTTTAATCTGCTAACCAGAATGCTTTGAAATGTTGCAGATGTTTTAAGGCTATAAAGAGCATCATAAATCTTTAGTCAAAAAATATTTGCTTATCCCCTCCAAAAACTTGATGACGTCAGCTCCAAAGTTTGTGGAATAAATCATATCTAAAATGTACAAAATATGATGAGTCTGTACTTGTGATCTATCACTCCATTCATATTTTTTGGATTTGCATATACAGGGTGACTCAAAAGAATTAATGAATGCGTAAATATATTTTATTGATTTAATCAGGAACTACAAAACCGAATGCTCTGAAATCTTGCAGATGTTTTAAGGTCATAAAGAGCATAATAAATGTTTAGTCAAAATATATTTGCTTATCCCCTCCAAAAACTTGATGACGTCAGCTCGAAAGTTTGCCGAATAAATCATATCTAAAATGTACAAGATATGATGAGCCTGTACTTGTCATTTATCACTCCATTCATATTTTTTGGATTTGCATATACAGAGTGACTCAAAAAAGTAAAGAGCATAATAAATTTTTAGTCAAAATATATTTGGTTATCTTCTACAAAAAACTGATGACGTCAGCTCAAAAGTTTGCCGAATAAATCGTATCTAAAATGTACAAAATATGATGAGTCTGTACTTGTGATTTATCATTCCATTCATATTTTTGGATTTGCGTATGCAGGGTGACTCAAAAAAATTAATGAATGCGTGAATTTATTTTATCGATTTAATCAGGAATTACAAAACCGAATGCTTTGAAATCTTGGGAATATTTTAAAGTTATTATAAGCATGGTAAACTTTTGTTCAAAATGTATTTGTTCATCCCTCCTAAAAAAATTGATGACGTCACCCTTAAATTTTGCTGAATAAATCCTATCTAAAATGCAAAAAATATGATGAGTTTGTACTTGTGATTTATCATTCCATTCATATTTTTTAGATTTTCTTAAGAGGTGGTTCAAAAAAATTAATGAAGTCAATTTATTTTATTGATTAAATTAAAGGCAACACTTATTATTAGTATTACACCCCAACCAACCCAATTTGGTAGACACAAAATTTGTTAAAGGAAAAACTCGGTTGAAACATAAGGGTAGCACGCTTATTTACATCGATTTTAACATTACAGACCTGCATTTGTTTTATGCGTTCACTTGGTTCCGCGAATGTGAAATAGACATGTTTATAATCAACCAAATGTGAATTTCACCGTCAAGAATTAAAATAAAACCCAATGTTTTATATAATAAGCGGAAGTCGAAGCAATAAAACCGATGGTCGTTTTGTTTACAGTTTCTCTGTTTGACTCTCACGTATGCTGTTACGCTTGTCATCTTAAATTAAGAATGTTTATACATAAACGACTTTCAGTTGCCCCTCATATTACTAGACAGCGGATTTCTGTCGGGCTACGACGTGCTGGATCGCCGGGTGATAGATAATCACTGAATTTAATCGGTACTAATTCCATAAATATAATTAACGATTTATTAATCAAACGGCTAAGTAAATGAGAGCGGGAATTAACAGCAGAGTGCAACGAAACAGCGTTATTCTAATCTCAAATAAACGAAGTGCAGTCCACAACCGCAATGAATTCGCATCCCGTACGAGCCGTACCGAGTTTGGCCTTGCCTAGCCCGACAGAAATCCGCTCTCTAGATATTACACACCGGCGCCGCATACGTGAGTAAATTGTTTCGTTATTTTATTGATTATAAGAAATCAATATTCAAAACGACCCAATTCATTTTCCCAAAAATTTGGGAATACAATAATTTTATTCTTAGTATTACACTACATCTATCCCAACTGATATACGTGTCCTTGCAAAAATGTTGATGACGTCATCACATTTTTTTTTTAAATTCCCACTACAAAAATGTAATGAGAAAAAAAAAACACAATAGGCATGCAGTCGTCAAGTTTCCGACAGCGAGGGAAGTACTGTCTAAACTCTTTAGACCAATTTTTTAAGTTTGCGATTTTTCGACTCTGCTTTTTTGACTTTTCTGTTTCTCAATTTTTTAATTTCCTAATTTTTGGATATCGTTCAATTTTGTGATTTTTCAGTTTTTCGATTTCTCAATTTTAACTTTTCAATTTTTAAATTATTAATTTTTTTCGATTTTTTGAGTTTTCAGTTTTTCTATATTTCAATTTTTCAATTTTCGGAATTTTTAAATTTTCGATTGTCCAATTTTTTTTTCGATTTTCCAATTTTCGATGTTTCGGTTTTTGAATTAACCGACTGTTCAATTTCTCGATTTTTAAATTTTAGATTTTCCAATTTTTGTTTTTTCATATTTGAATTTTCCAATGTTTTAAATTATCGATTTCGAGGATTTACTGTGTTACAGTAGAATAGTCATCAGTCATTACTCATCAAGAACGATTATTGCTGTGCGTTAAAATGCCTACATATTGATAAGCATGTACATACAAGACGCATTTAAGGCTGTTTTAAGTTTGCTACATTTAATTTTGGCGATTTTAAATTTATTTCTTGATGTCTAAATCGTATATATTTAAATGGTGGTAAATAATTTGTGATAAAATGCATTTTAGTTTCAAAGATAATATGTATTTAATGATTTGACTACTGTTAATAAAAAAAAAAATACTAAGAAGATGTTCATATTGTATTAATTTTGTGTTCATAGTTTGATGATAACCCATAGTTATATAACAGCTTAAT